GATCCCAAGTCACTGCAGTATCAATGTCAAACTTTGAGCTGCCTTCCAATTTAAGAGTGCTGAAGCTTTACCTGATAAGACTCAGGGATTACTATCTATTGAGCCCAGGTCCATCCATTATTCAGGACTGTGGCATGCTATTTATCTTTCTAATGTCAGGTCAATGTTGTGGCCTATGCAGATTAACTGTGCTTTTTTAACATCTCTATAAATAAATATAATACAGGAAAAAGCATGACTGTTAATTGCACCAATAATGCTGAAAACATGAATTCTGAATTCAAACCTTTTTTATCTCTGAAATAAAATGCATGATGAAGTGCTTGTGCTTGTCTGTATTTTCCCTACAAAGACATGATCAGATGTGTTAACTTAATACTTATATTTGACCACAAGAGGGAGAATCCTGGCTCCAAAATCGTGGCTCCAAAAGGGAAAGAAACAGTAGAGTAAGTACCCTTAGCAGCACCATGGTATCAGCATTCATTCATCAGCAGCTCTCAGACCCACTCTAAACTTCTTTATTAAAGAGCACAGCACTGTGCTAATTAAAATGTGTGATGATTGTAAAAATGCAGCTAATATAAACATGCACAGAAATCTAGCATATATTTGTTTCCAAAATTGTTCCCCAGCTCCCCCCAGAGGTCCTTACACATAAAAAGGGTTAGGAGATACATGAGGTAATACTCAGATCTGTCTTTAAAGATATGTAAATCAGTGGCTCTGTATTTGAAGGAATCCTGCTAGAGGTTATACTTCCTATTATATATAGACCTAAACTAGAATCCCCTGGATCCAAACCCCTGAATTTTGGGGATATTTGGAACTGGATATGAACCTCATGACTTGATCCTATATCTACGAGGAGAATGGACTGGAATCCCAGTCTGAACAATCCCAAATTTCAGGCGAGCTCAGATTCAGAATCACCGAGTCTGGGAAGCAGGCTGCAAGCAGCTAAGGGCTGCAGGGAAGGAGGACTGGGAAGAAGCTGCTGCTGTTTCTCTGCTAACAGATAAACATCCAGAAATTTGATGGAAATCTGCTGCTGCTGGTGTTAGGCCCCCCACCCCCAGGCACTCCCTGGTGGGTGACCCACACAAACAACAGCAGGGGAGAGAAAAGTCTTTAAAACAACTCAAAGATGCAAAGGAAAAAAATTTATCAGTCATAGTCCTAAAGTGCAGGTATGTTAGAAAATGACCAGGATAGACATTTTTTAAAATAAAATTTGTACTGTCCCTTTCATCTTTTCTGTTAGTGAAGTCTCCCAGTGAATACGGTATTAGTTGGACAGTGGGGTGTAACTACCTTTCTGTGGCTTTCTTTCTAGGGAAGCCAGCCGGCTGAGAGTAAAGATAAGATAGGCAGCATGGAGAGGCGTGTTGCAAATGACATGTGACAGGAGGCCTCAGTGTTTGGTAAGCAATATCTTTAACAACACATCTGAGGGATGCGACTTTCAGGGTCACTTTTCCTGCTGCGGTTTTTATTTGTATCGTTATTTTCATGCTATGTATGAAATGAGGCTTAGAAACACCACTGTGGCTGCTTGTTTCCCCTTTACTACTGATTGCTCTGAGCAACTATTTGGGGGAGTGATTTTGAGGGGTGAGGAAAATGTGCACCCCAAATGAACAGTAGGGAATCTGGCCTCTGAGTGGGCGATGATTATGGGCACAGTCCTGCAAGACACTCAGTGGCCTCCATTCCCACTGAAATCAGTGGGAGTTGAGGGAACTCAGCACCACTTATTTTTGTCCTTACAAATGTATCCAATGTAAGTGCACAGATCAGAACCGATTAGCCAGTCTCTCCTTCCCAGTTCGATCACTGACTCCATTGACTTCAGTGGAGTTACTCCTGATTCATATCAGTGTAAGTGAACCAAGCCCCATGGCTTCTCCCAAAGTTCACAGCAACATACTTGCAGTCCTGCTTCTTACCAGTCCCACCACAGGAGTGAGCCACTCTCGTCCCTCTGCCAATTTTTCTTTTTTTACTAACTTCCAAAATGCAGGGCATAAGTAAAGGCAAACTGGAGCTCTTTGTATCTTTAACCAGACAAAGATTCAGGACTAGTGAATGCAGTAATAGTGCATACAGCATCTAGGATGACCTGAGAAAGTTCAAAGTAGAGTGTCAGGATGTGTGTGCATGGACTCTTACCAAACAATATTGTGGATACATAAGACAATGACCTTTTATAATAGCGTTAAATGAGACATGGAGGCTGCTGAAAAACTGTTATGAAACATTGTCTAGCATGACAGCATCTGATACAGAGACGAGAGAGGGCTTGTTCCCTCTCCCCAAGGGACTATTTAAGGGTACGCTGGCCCTTAAAACCCCATTCACCTGGTCATCTGGCCTTGGCACAGTGGTGCTGGAACTAGGGGTGCTGCCACACCCCCTGGTTTGACGCAGCAATAACAAACACCAAATACATGATTTCCATCATCAGCACCTCCACTATAAAAACTGTCCCAGCATGCCTGCCTATGCCAGCTACTCTTCAATCCCTGTCTTGTAATCCTCCCAAGGGCTTGACAAGGTGCAGAAAGTCCAGTCCCTTTTAACTGTTTCTCAGCAATCTCACCCCACTCCCCATGGGTTTCTGGGTCTGTTTCTAAAGCAGCTCCTTGCCAACTCTTTGCTGGGGTGCTCCCTTGCCTCTCTGACAGCAGCCCACTTCTGCCTGAGCTGCAGTTTTTTATCATGGCTTTTGATAGTCAAATAATGAGGGAGTAGCAGTTCTGGCCATTAACTCCTTAGTGGCTATTACAGCATAAGATCTATGAATGCCATCGCAAGGGGCCATGCCCTGCTCATCTGACTCACGCAAGACTTCAGCAGGAGTTTTATGTGAAGGGAACATGAGTAGGCCCAAGGTCTGTTACATGACTGTGTTGTGCTGCAGGAGGAAATGAGTTTGCTGTGTAATGGAGCTGGCAGATGATCATAAAGTGCTGGTCTGAAAGGTCAAACCCTTTATGTAACTTGTTACTAAAGTTTGCCATCTGTTTTTATGATATGCTTATACTCTTAGGTGTATATTTTTATTGTTTTATGAGTGTCGTGCATTCCTAGCTGAGAGAACAGCAGAGCAGTTCGGCTTTCTAGCGATATACAGAGAGTTGTCACTGAGGGCATAATTTGAAGACATTGGAGTCATGACAAGTGTAGCTGAGGACAACACATGGCCAGCAGAACTTTTGCTAAGGATGCTGATGCTCAAAGATGAACCCAAGCTCTGTTTGCAGGACTGGCAGTTAGAAAAAACATCCTTTCATTTGTAAACTGAGCAAATATAAAGGGAAATTATAGAGAGACGCTAAGTAATGAAACTGGACAATCTCATTTTTGCAGTTGCTGTTTTGAGCAGAACAGCATTATGGGCCTGATCCTGCAGTATTCAAGTGAATAGGAGTTTTGACATGAATTTCAAGTGGGGCCTTGTGACAGAGCATCTTGAAAAATGTGTAGACTCTATTCTGGCTGTCTATGATTAAATGACTTATAATCAAACATCTGCCCAGAATAGTTGTCACTAAATAATAATAAGAGCAGCAACGAGAAAAGAGTCTTACTTGGGACTGTTGTTCTTCAGTTTTAATGCATACATCAGGGAAGGGCCAAGAGAAACTGAGGTTTGCCAGCTCCATTTTTTTCTCTTACCTCATCCCCAGCATAAATCATACTAAAGAGTGGGGACTGTTGGGAGGGTAGGGGAGGCAGGACTCTGGAGATTGTTCCCCCTCTTCGTCTGAGAAAGCCCAGATTTGGTGACCTTCCTGGCATGCTGCAAAAGACATCCGTTTGATTGGGGTTTGGAGAGGGCTGCAGGTATGTTCCCAGAATGATGAAGAGGTGAATAGGAACCTTTTCATAGGTGGCTGGCTGGCTGACTTCCTGGCTGATTGATTGTTTAGTGCTGCTGGGTCCATACTTAATATTAATTGAGTGCTGGAGGGCCTAGAGCCTTGTATAGCTATCTTTTTACAGAACTATTTACATCAAAATTAATAAATAAACTAAAGAGTAGAACAGGTGAGAAAGGTATTGCATGCATGATGATATACCCACGTGCCCAAGATAAATATATATATATCCAAGAAAGCTAGGCATATCACCAAATCCTCATTTTCTTGACTGGGTTTTTCTTCTTGTAGAATACTTTATATTTACTTAAAAGTGAAAATGTCTCTTTAGAAAATTGATAAATCTTATCTAACATCTCAAGGGCTGACAAAAGTCCCTGTTTTTGTTTCTATTTTAGAAAGCAAAAAATCATTCTTATTGAAAAAGTCCCTAGTTTATATTTGTGTGTGTCATACCTTCAACAGGAATGATTTTAATCAATAAACTAATTAAGGGGCTGTTAATCTGGTCAAAGAGCTTGATAATAAAATTCAGATGAATAATCTCAGAGTAGTGGCGCTCCTTGAATGCTTTGAAAATATTGGCAAGTAAACCAGCTAGTTTGTCCAAGTGACTTTCAAACATGGAAAAGATACCTCCTGTATCTGTAGGCCCTAATCAGTTACGAGACTCCTTCTCTTAGGGATTCGACTTTGAAGCAGAATATTGAAGAATTAACTTTTAAGGACATGGCCATATTTCTTGGATGACACACCCATGAAGGTAAAAAGGAGATGGTGTTTTAATATTCTGAAGAGCCACCTTTGGAAACTCAATCAGGCAAATCTGATCACCCAGGGGCTTGCTCCTCAGCCCAGACTTGTTATCTCAAAGGGGAGCCAAGATAACTCTAATTGAGTAAATGGGTGTAGGTAACAGAATATAAACAAGCCCCTTTTTCTCAGAAGAGCAGACCCGCCCTCTGTCACCGGTGGACTGGTGTAGATCTCCTTCCCTCTTCCCTATGTGGTGCACAAATAATAAAGACTGACCAGAAATAAAGGTTAAACAATAGGTAAGTGTATTAAGGGATAAATTACAGATAAGGGAAGGAATAAATGTAAACGAGCAATAACTACCTGTATATAAACAACACAAAGCCAGTGACACAGCAGCTCTTCCTATGAGCATAAAGCTCGGGCCCAAAAATACAGAACTCACCCTGGCAATTGAAAATGTAACCCCAACTAAGAAAACCCTAATTATTATGTGTCACTATATTCCAGCACTTCCGTGGCAGCGGCGAAGTCCAGGACCTCCATTCCATGGGTAACTGGAACCCGTAGAGGAGGAGCACTGGAGAGTCCCTCGATGACAGTTGGGATGGAAGAAACGGACTGAGAACCCTTTGGTTGTTGATGTTCCCAGGAACAGGAGCAGGTAAGGTGGAATGCGTCTTCCTCTTTCTTCTCACCTTAGGAGTGAATGGTATTCTTTGATGGTGCACTGGTGCCACGAAGACCCAAGATGGACTGCACCACCAGTCTGTGATTACAGTCCTTTTATACAGTTTGTGGCAGGAAAACATGGTATGATCCTGGGGAAGGCGGGAAACAGTCTGAGGTGGCTTGGCAGTACATAGAGGGGTCACAAAATGGAGTCACAAGATGACAGTTCAGACTCCATCTTGGATTGCTGCAATATCCTTAGAAACTGATTATTGGGTCTAATACACACATGTAACTTAATAAACCATGAACAATAGAACATTTCATACCCAACAGGCTAAGTCCTCTCTGTACTGCTTTGGTGGAATAAAGGGGACTCAACTGAAGGGGCAGTTGGGTATTCCTCTGTCACAAGAGAATCCCCTGGTGGTGCAAAGCCAACATAGGGGGTCTTCTAGAGTGAGTCAGATGTGGCGGCTTGAGGAGATGTGGCGGCTTGAGGAGGTGTGGCCCGAGCATGCTGTGGTCCAGTTATCCCTTTCAATGTAATGGCCCTTAGGGGACTGTTCCTGTCAGCTCATGTTAGAGCAGCCCTGTAGCCCCCAGGTTCTGAGGACGCAGAGATGAAATAACATGGAGTTCCAGTATACCTGAGGATCCAGTCCTGGATCTGGAGGACTGTATACAGTCTCTGAAAGAAGTTTGCACCATTTGACCCACACATTTCACCAGATCAAGGAATTGACAACAGGTGTCATTTACAGGTCCTGCAAATGGTTGACTATGTTTGTGCCAATCAAGTTTTAGCCCTGGTTACTGAAATGCTATTGAACATGGTTTGACCTTGTCTACACTTACAGGTACAATATTTTCAGCAGTGAGGGGAAGAAGGGCTGGTAGACCTAGAGTAGGGAAAACACCCCACAACAAGTTGCAATCAGGACTGTGTGCATTGTGGGCATATAATACGTACTAATAATTAGTCCGTTTGGTGGAATATTTTTAAGTCCATAGTTGGTGGCACTGCTGTAGTATGTCAGAAAGTCCACACTGGCAGTGTCTTTTGTTTGGTGGTGTGTCCCCAGGCACACTGCCACTGGCAGTGACTGAGCTTGGGCACAAGACTATGTGGGGACATGAGGTGTTGCAGAACTCCTGCTCCAATGCACTTTAGTTCATTTGTGGCACCCTTAGCTAGAAAAGCTAAGATTAGGAGCTGCATGTGCCTCTGTCCCTGCCCCTGGACTGGGAGCCTCTCTCATTTCAGCAGCAAAGAGGAGGGGAGGTGACTGTCCTTTGCAAGGCTCTGTGGGGGAGGGAAAGGAGGGGTTTCCTGTGGATTAGCCCTTGATATTACAGAAAGCCTGGTGAGCCACTGGTGAGACTTCACCTTCCTTTGAGCTGCATAAGAGGCTGGGATCGCTGCTGCACTTGACACTCACCGCTCTTCCCGATTCCAGCTGTGTCCCAGTACCTGTCTGTATCACCCGTAAACTTCTTCACTGCCGCTGCCTTCTGCACGGACCAAGATCCACTGGGTAAGTCAACTGGGGCATTTCAACCTTATTGATGGAGTTGTATTTTTTTAAACTGTCTAATCTAGTGACTGGTTTCCTTCCCTGTGCCAGGGAGAGGAGAGGTGAGAAAAACAATAGTGGAAGTGCTATTCTGCCACCAACTAATGAATTAGATTTTGCAGCTGGTTTGGCCGACAGTGAGAAAGAAAATGTTTTGTGATTTGCCTGGAGTTCTCCACTGCATTTAATTTACCAGCAAAATTAGATGTCCAAAATAAGAATGTATTTTATTAAATGAGGGAGAAAACTCATGTAAGACTGATGGCTGAATAGTGAAAGAGCTCAAGAGCTAGAATATGGAGAGGGAAACAAGTATATTACTTAGAAATGTGGATGTATGTGTATGTACCATGTATAATACACATACATACACAAGAGCTCTTTTATCCAAACCTGTTTAGTACATACCCTTTTCTCTGAATCTAGGTTACACATCCCCAGGTATATCAGTTACCTGTTAACATACCTGATTTTCTGAATCCCCTTTTATACAAATGGTTTTAATTTTTCCAAAACATTAATGAAAACGAGGATTGTGCTGTGAATAAATCCACATATACCATACCGGTTTCCTGTATAAATATATGCATATGTACATACATATACCTGTCTGTGCTCTGTGTACATATGTAATAAAGCATTGTATAAAGTATAGGATTTATATAGATGTTTCATGTATTTGTATGTATATAGAGAACTAAAATGCACAGCTACAATATGTTTTTATGGAGGGTTTCACCTGACAGTTTGCACTAGTTAAACTTTGTACCCATTGTAAATAAGAGAAGTAACAGCTTAACTAATGAATGGCTGGCAGGTTTACAGGATGTTGAAAATTAGGATATTTTTTAAAAGGCCTGATCGTGCTTGGAACTTTGGAAAACTCATTAACACAAATGAGAGTTGATTTTGGCTCTAAAACTATATATTCTTAGTTAATTTTAGCTCTTGATGTGTTTGTTTGAAGAGGTAAAATACCTAGAATAAACTGGTTGGTCTTTCGAGAACCAGTTAAAATATGTGTTGTTGGGTTTTGCGATTTGCAATTGCATTACTGAGTTACAAGTGCCTCTTCCTTTATGATTTAGAAAACTTGTCCAGTGCCAGTCGCTTACTGTAGGATATTGCTAAGACAAGAATTCACATCATCTCTTTGTTAGTATAAAATACCTTAGACTGGCAAACATTTTTAGTAAAGTTGCTTTAAAAATCTTCGGCCTGGTTCTGCTGTGACTCATGTTGGTTTGATAGCCATATAACTTCATTGGTTTCAGGTAAATGACTCCTGATTTACCCTGCTCTATGTGAGAGGGGAATCAGGCCTTTGGACTATACAAGTCAACATACAATGCATGGGAAAACTGCCTGTATGCACCCCAATTGACACACTTAAGGTATTTTCCTCTTTGGGGTTTGAAAATGTTATTTAAATTATGGCATCTGTGGACAGAAAGATATGATGATTTATTTAACAAGGGCATTTTTAGTGTTCAATTAGAAGAAAGATTAAATATCAAGATCCAATATTTTAAATGTTTTCAGATAAATTATTTTGTCTCCTGATTTGGTAATATGATTAATAGTTTGAGAGAGATTATGGATACTGAACTTCTGCCTTGAAAGGATGCAGTGGAAGGTCTGAAAGCAAGAATCTTTCTTGAGGATAGGCTTAATGGGGACAACTTGGTTACACAGAAAAATGGAGTAATGAAATAAGTGGAGGATGAAAGGTCCAGTACTGTATTGTGATAGAAAATATGGTGATTTATGTATTGTGTGGTCAGCACTTCAGCCATTACTCACACAAACCCCTCATTGATTCTAATGGGATTTAAACATCTGGAAGGGCTGCCCTTATATTAGTCCATTTATATCATTACATCATATGAATACAAGTCATCAGCTTGCTACTGTAAATGTCTTCAACTAGGATTTTTTAGATTTCTTCTGGGATCATCCATCAAGTATAAAATATTAGTAATCCATAGAAGATATTGCTGGGTCTACGCTGCTGCTTGATCCAAAGAGTTTCCTACTGGGTTTTTCTAAATTAGGTGCTGGGGGGTAAGAATTAATGCTGTTGATGACTCACTTCTTGATGGCAAGGATGAATGCTAGAGGAAGATTTTTTGAAAGAGAACAAGTACAGCATGTACCATTCATGAATAGCTCACCAACATGGGTGACATTTCAGTTATGGAGAAAATAACTTACTTTAACCAAAGTTGATATAATGATCATATGGTCGCCTTTGCTCATCATACTGGAAAAATACTTCTGAACACAAACTAATTTATTCTGATTATTTACTTATAATATGTTGATGCCTATACACAATGATGTGACATTATTTTATTGGATATTTATCTGTCCATTAAAATCTAGAGTAGATGAGCATATGTTTGTAGATTTTTTGTGTGACTTGGAAATGGAATTTCATTACACATACAAACATTAATTTGATTTATATTTTCTTTGCTATTTCTTTGTTCTCTGGGTATTTTACTTGTAAAAGGACTGTCAAATCAGAAGCAAAATAACGTTACACAAACCTTTCACTCTGAGAAAACAAGTAATAGTAAAGCATGTTAACAACCTTTGCTCTTTTCTCAAAGCAAACATCAAAAGGAACATGCCCATATCTTTCCATGGTTAGGCTTACTGATTTATAAAAATCTTCTTATTCCTGAGTAAATATTAACTATATAATCTCTCACTGAATGTTTGCATTATTAATAGAAAAAAATACTAAAATGGTGGGCGGACTTTTCATCAAAAGCAAATGAAAAGTCCGCCCACCATGCATAGATATTATATTACTGCTGCTAGTGGCTCGTTGCTTTTTGGCACAAGATTAGAGACACACCAATTTCTCCCATAGGGAATTGCTACAGTGGAAGACTTGTAATGACAAGACTCAGATGAGAAGAGAGGCGGGTAGTGCAGATTTTAATTTGTGACTGATCCATCACCTAGAACAGCAAAATAATTATTTTTTAGAATTAATTAAGACTTAACAATGGTGTGTCAATTGCAATAAAAGTATGCACAAATGTAGCTGTACAAGGTCACTTCTTGTTTTCAAAAAGGTGACCTCCAGTTATCTTGAACAGTACATTTCTCTGCTTATCTTATTGGAGAGGATCATTTGTTGTGTTCCTGGTTTACAGGGGGTTTATTCAACATGGCACCAAATGTTTCACATTTTATTTTCTTATATTTTTGAGAATGGTGTAATGTTGTATGATAATTAAAGCAATATAAGCTCAGGAAAGTCAAATTTAAATTTAAGGGCAGGCCAAATTCTAACTTGTGCTTCAGTCACTGTGCCATTCTGGCCATGCTAAGGAGGCCAAGATCTATCCTAACCAGGGCATCAGTGAATTCATTTGATGTAGGGGAATTCCTGAAATGCAGGAAGTTGGTTTAGTTTGCTATATGCCACCTGGTGGAGAAGGGGGTGCTCCCAGTTGGCATGGCTGATGCCAGGAGGAGGAGTCTCCTTAGTGAACTGCACTTCTGCTCCTAAAACGATTTTCTAATTTTTTCGTGGTATTTTTATTTCCATTGCTTTGTAACAACATGAACTTTCATATCACAAAATACTTTTAAGATCTTCTTGTTGTCCTAGTGCACTGGAGAGATGGGGAGAGTGTCCTCATCTTCAGAACATCACTTTTGAAAAGGTCAGAGTATAAATGTATTCCCAACTATGAAGAACCCTAGACCTCAATAGTGCCAGGCCTCTTTGGGTGTCATTCAAAAAGACATCTGTTTCAGCCACTGGCAGCAGCATCTTTAACTAGCAAGCTGCACTTTATATCTCTGGTTTCAGTAAAGATTGCAAGGCAGCCAATGTGCTGTCAAAGCTTCAGGAACACAACTATGTGGCTTATCTCTCAAAAGCAGCCCCTTGGGTATATTATCACTGACAGGGTGGCCACTGCTCCCTATGTTAATGGCTCCACTGGTTTCTTGACGAACAGCAACAATATCAAATACTTTCTTAAACTCATACACTTCAAGGTCAGAAATAACCATCGTGACAATTTAGTCTAACATCCTGCACACTGCAGGTCACAGAACCTCACCCATTCACTCCTATAATCGACCCCTAACCTCTGACTGAATTACTGAAGTCCTCAGATCATGGTTTAAAGGCTTCAAGTTACAGAGAATCCACCATATTACAGGGCCGCCCAGAGGGGTGGGCAAGTGGGGCAAAATGCCCCAGGCCCCACAGGGGCCCCCACGAGAATATAGTTTTCTATAGTATTGCAAGTTTCTTTTATGGAAGGGGCCCCCAAAATTGCTTTGTCCCAGGCCCCCTGAATCCTCTGGGCAGCCCTGCAATATTACACTAGTTTAAACCTGCAAGTGACCCGTGCCCCATGCTGCTGAGGAAGGCAAAAAACCCTCAGAGTCTCCTGCCAATCTGGCCAGGAGGAAAATTCCTTCCCATCCCAATATGGCAATTAGTTAGATCCTGATCATGTGGGCAAAACCCTCAGCCAGACACCTGGGAAAGAATTCGCACTAGTAACTCAGAGCCCTCCCCATCTGTTCTTGTAAAAGATCGGAAGGATCTTGCCCAACATGGATTGATTAGGGCCCAAAAATTAAGCTGCTTTGAGGAATTCCAGATGAAAACAGTTTAATCGGGCATCATATTAACCTATCCCAAAAGGCACCAGCCTACCTGCTTACAAGAAAAGAGCTGATAGATGGGTGGAGAAAGAGTCCTATAACCCTGAGAGCACACATGAATCAAAACATAACATGGTGAGTCTTATTTTAGGTTATTGCCTTGAAAATGTCCCTTAATAGTGGAAAGATTATAGGAAGCAGGTGTTATGTAATTTCAATTTTGGAGGATCCCACATCAGTCTGTAGTAAAACCAGAACAGAACAAAATCTACGGTCAACTTCTGTGTTGCACTGTGGCCTCTTTATGCTGTTTTGGTGGCATAAAGCAGCTAGACCCTGCCTAGTGATAAAAAATAAGATAAGACAAAAAAGACAGAAAGATGTCAGAAAGACTGTATGTTACCCCTTTGCCACCCTTGGTGTGGGGGCATACTGGGGCATATAGGACATGTCAGAGGAGTAAGGAGGCACGGCTGGAGTATGCTGCACTCCAGCTAGTCATGGTTGTGGAATGGTCTCCTGGGGGCTGTAGTAGTTTCAGCTTGCCAGGCTGAGAACTTTGTACCTTCTCCTTACCCCAATTCCTGCTACGAGTACAGCTGGAGAGGAATGGAGAATCTGGCTCCTGATGGGATGGTCATCCCCTTCCAGGTGCCCTATTTCTCAGTGCAGAGGTCTGGATCACAGACCTACTCCTTGCGAATATAGTAGATTGCAGGGCAGATAAAAATAGATGATTTTTTAAAATAAAAAATTGCATTTTTAAATTTAAAATCAGATTATTTTAATTTAAATTGGGTTTTGAATGGAAATTAAATACTGGTTTATTTAAAAAAAAACTATTTAAAATTAAATTTTAAATTGACAGCCTATGTTAAGGCCTGAACTTATTACAATCTATTAAAATCATTTAAATTAAATACAAAAATAATATTAAGCAGTACATGTTTGCTGCCAAGTTTTAAAGGAAGTCAAACCACTGAATTGGTGGAAGTCACTGACAAAGCACCGGGAACCAGAGTTTGTTGAAGTACTAAACCAGCGTTTGATAGTTGTGGCCTCTTCTGCAGGTGCAGAGAAAATATTTTCTTTAGTTCTGTTTATTCAGTTTCAGTACAATGACTAGTTCACTCAAAGTTAAGAGACTGACTGGAAGCTGAAAAAGCAGGAAAGCTTCTTTTCTTCTTCCAATCTATGACTAAAAACTATGTGTGAGAGGGTGCGTTCTACTGTTTCTAAAATCTTGAAGGACATGATAATGGGGAACAATTGGTTCAGTTCATTAACTACACATTATATAATACTTCCTTTGCTATATAAGTTGGTTAGTTTGAAATGCAAAACATGCTTTTGTAAACTTTTGATAAACATTTTTTCTTATGTAACATTCACTGTTAAGGTAGATTTATTTAATAAAAAATGTAACCGCTGATTGTGTGCATTTTTAATTTAATTAGAACTTGCATCCATCCTTGACACAAATCACAAGAAAAATATTAATCATTATCTAATAAATGGGAAATGCATTATTCACCATTTTCTAACAAAATAAAAAATGTAAAAATTAAGAATCTGAATAAATGTAAATTAAACTATATAATTGCTTAAATAAATGTGTATAGATACAGTGTAGCCTCCTGGTTAGCAAAAAAGAAACATCAAATTTTAGTGTCTAGGCTATATTTAGTTGCCAGTCAACATGTCTGAATGGTTAGCTACTACAGGTCTGTCGCATCTTACGCGCATTTAACATGCGTGATTTCAACTTTACGTGGTCAGCAAAAACAAAAAAACAACAAAAAAAAGAAAAACAACAATTTTAATACTATACCTGTAGTGCGGGCGATTTCGCCCACCATTGAACTCAATGGGATTTTGGCTATACGCGGCTTTTGCTTTATGCGCTAACCGCGGAACGGAACCCCCGCGTAAGATGAGACAGACCTGTAATAAAAATAATGAAGCAGGGTTGTGTAGTGAAGGAGATTGCTCTCTGCAGGACCCCTGTCTCTTTTGTTGCAGAAGCTGGAAGGTGTGTGGTTAACGAGGCAAGGGATTTCAGGAAGAAAAAGTGTGGTCTGATGCTTAAGGCAACTGAGTGCGGCCCTGGAAACAGTAGTGCGGGAACTAGGGGTGCTACTGTATCCTCTGGCTTGAAGTAGTAATAACAAACACCAAATACATGATTTCCATTGTTTCCATGATCAGCACCCCCTCTATAAAAATTGTTCCAACACCTCGGCCTGGAGAACTGGATTTTATCCCTGCCTCTGCCACAGAGTTCCTTATGTAAAGCTAGACAAGTCTTATAAACCAGATTTTTCATAGGAGTCCGCTGTGTGTCCCTCATTTTCTGCATACCTGATCTGAAGTTCCTGGGGTCTGATTTGCAGAAGTGCTGAGTACTCACAGCTGTAACTGAAGTCCGTGGGAGCTGTGCTCTGAACATATAAAGTGCTGTAAAATGTTCACTACATTGAAAACTCAGGTCCTAGGCTTCTCAGCGTGGGCACCCAAACTTAGTTAACGCTTTTGACAATTTTGCCATTAATCTCTGTGCCTTAGTTCCCTGTGTATAAAAGGTTGCTAATACACCTCTTCTCACAAGGGTGTGGTGAAGAAAAAATCATTGATGACTCTTAAGCACTAAGATACTATGATGAGAGTACCATAGCACAGCTCATGAGGAAATTATAATTAATAGTTCTATATTCAGAGCAGGGTTTGAAAGTAATGCCTTTAACAATGAGTATAAAAAGAAATAGAGAATAGCTACTCATTCAGTGAGCCCCATTCATCTTGTGCACAGAATAAGGCAGGGGTTTAGTGGGAAAGAATAGTATGCAATCATGTAATTAAAAGGGACAGAATTAAAGTTACACAGCAACCTTAATCCTTACATTTCCTTACTGCTGAGTGTGTGGCTTGGCAGTGCTAATGTTCTTTTAATGTAGTGTTTGAGATGTCATCTATATTTGGGCTTTTCCATTTTATAATCCAGCACACGGAAGAAAAGTTAGGCAGGATTACCAAGGAAGGAAAAGTGTTGAGTGGGGTTCACTGAGTATAACACCCACGTTTATTGGAGGGTATATACAGTGTAAACAAAGTTGGCTGCATTACATATAGGGTGGTCTTTCGTCTCTCCTCTATGATACCTTTGTTAATGTTTATGTTTACAGAAGTGGAATCCTTCCAAAATGACAGACAACCAGTCAGACATCAGTATTCAAATGTCAAGTACAAACGGCCTCCCCAGCAGAAAAGAGTCCTCTCAAGACCCATCAGTCAGCAGAGGAACCACTGTGACCTTTCACAACATCTGCTACAGAGTGGAGGTGAAGAGTGGCTTCATATGTTGTCGAAAAACAACCGATAAAGAAATTTTGAAAGATATCAAGTACGTATTTAAACTTCTGTCAGAGTACATGTTCATTTGATTTCCTTTCTTGACAGTTAGGTTCAGATAAGTCACTGAGCCATGAATACCTCTGTAATAGTAATGTACAGAAATTGGTCAAGATTTCAAAAAAAAACCAGGCACTCAAAGTAGGCTCCCAAGTCCATATTTAGGCACATAAAAAGGTAACCTGATTTCCAAAAGTGCTTGCATCTTTGAATTCCCATTGACGTCAATAGAAGCTGCAGTGTGTTCAGCTCTCTTGAAAATCAGGTCATTTACTCAACTGCCTAGATGTGAATGTAGGAGCATAACTTAAGGTATTTTTAAAAACCCTGTCTCTAGCTTTGAGTTAAAACTTTAAAAGTAGCAAAGAGTATTATTCTGTAACTAGAACAATGCGTGTGAGAGTTTGGGTGTCCACAATTTTATTGCACTGTTTTCTATTACAGTTATTGCTTAGTAATTGCATGACATTGCTCCTGTTGTCAAGGATCCCTTGTATAATGTTGGCCAGTTTCCAGTTAGATAAGTCCGATCTGCGTGTCATGAAAGTTAGTTGTATAACCTGCCATTCCATGATGTAATTGTAGGTCGGTTCTCTAATTTCAGCTCCCAGAATGCATGACAGGTTGGACCTTTATCTGTACTGCTCTTTGCCCATAAAGCATTTCTTAATACACCAAGCCTTCCATGCTGCATACAGTGACTATATCCACCAAATGTGAAATTTTAAATCCTTATTCTCTCACAAGAGTCTTACTCCAGCGTAACTCATTTGATTTAAACAGTTACTCCATATTTGTAGTGAGAAGAGCATATGTGTGTGAGAAGAGCATATGTCCTTTAGAGTCTAGACCTAGTGTATGTTGTTCCCCCATAAACAAAATGACAAAAAAAAAAAATTTAGTTTAGGTGACGAAAACAACAAAGAAAAAAAACAAATATAATGTGTCTGGGAAAGGGGTGAGGGATAGCACACAGAGATTTAATCTGATATTTTATATCTAAATTGAAACACACAAAAATCCCTCTCTCCTAAAGAACAACTTCTGCCATATTGCCTACAAGAAAGGAGACAGAAAATCAAATAGACAAACCCCTTACAACTACCCAGAACTATCATGATGTACTAATGCCTTTACTATGTAGCTGTGATATCTCATTATTGTAACAACCATGGGCAGAGAAAAGATTGATAAAAGAAATAAAAGACATTTCACACAAAGTATAAACTACCCTTTATTATTTGTAATATAGAGTGCTGTAAATTAGAGTTGGGCCTACAGAAAAACTTTAGATTCAAACACCCCTGAGCTTTGGGGAAGTTTAGATCCAGAACCAAACATGGCAGCGGGTTCCTATGTCTATAACGGGCTGAACCAAACCCCCAAATTTGGACATCTCTGGTAGCAATGCTAAAGAGTTAGATGGTCACAGTTTATAACCAGATTGCTGAAAGAGTACACCCTCATGTGTGTCAGTTTCTCAAAAATATCAATTTTAATACCATTCCTACTAATGATAAATGTAGTAGCTGCAGGGACCATTATACTTAACACAGTTAGTCCAGCCCCTGTAGTCCTTTCTCAGTCAAAACTCCTATTGACATCAATGACAGATTTGCCTGAATAAAGACCGCAAGATCCTTCTCATGTTCAGTAGCAACAGTTAACCGGCTCTTATTTATAATGGACATCTTTAGAAATGATTCAAAAATTCTCTTGTCTTTTAACTTTATATCCATTTTAATTTTAACCTGACGTTGCTCTATGGTTCTTGGAATTAACATTTTATCCAACAGTTAGCTGGAAAGACAATATTAAATATCTTTGACATTTCCCAGGGCAGATAGAGTCAGCTCACACAGATTTCCTCACATGATTGGTGGGTCTTTGTATTAATTATTCACAGCTAGATCACAATTACTTTAATGTGATTCCCATTGTGCATTCTAAAGACCTTGGAAGGTTTGCCAAACATGGGTATTTAAGAGGAATCAGGTGATGATGATTTCTTACATTGTGAGGTTGCGTGTTGTGTTTTGGAAGTTTGCAGGTTTTTTGAATAATAAAATTGAATAATAAAATTGCTAGTGATAAGTGAATGAAGCACAGATAAAAAGTATATAGAAATCTTTATTAATTATTAACAACTTTTACTGTTCCTGGGCTGAAGGTGATGGCTTACTTTTCCATTTAAGTTCTCAGTTGTTACAGAATAAATTTGATTGGACATGATCTGTTTCCTGGGTGGCTTTTAAAGTGTGGAAACTGCTTCCTTTGGACAATCCCCTCAGCCCATCTCTGCCAAATTATAAGCATGACTGAAAACATTTCAGAGTTGCTTTTTTCTATTTTAATTCCCACTGGTCCCTGTGTACAACTCCCTGCTGCCCTTTACTCGGTCTTTAACTATTTTTGTTGACTGTTATAATGTAACTTCATTATCTAATTACTGTATTTTAACTGTTTAAGCAGAACACCCGGACATTTTTGATAGGGGAAGGGGGAAAGTGGTGCCTTATGAAAAATAATAATTATAATGGATCGCAGACAGAGGGAAGTAACCAGAATCCAATGACATGAGGCAAGAAATAGCAATCAGGCATTGCTATGTGTGGAAAGTGTTGACTCACCATTAATTAATAATTGCAAAGGGAAATACTGAGGTTGTGAGGGAGCCCTCTACCTGCCTGGTGCTACTTCAGACATTATTAACTAATAATGTTCATATATGTCAGTCGTATACATCCCAGAGTGGAGTTTCTTGCCTGGTCAAAAATCTATTTGGGGAAGGGAAGTTTTATTCCAGGTGACTTGCAGACATCAAAAGATTCACCCTCACCAGTGAGAATACTCTACTCCTACGCTCTGATTAATTAATTAATTAATTTTTAAATCCTTGTGCTGAGACTGGGAGAGGCTAAATCTTCTCAACATTTCCTTTATCCAAAGCCATCCCTGCAGTTCTGCTTTCAGGTCATATCCAAAACTGGAAGGGGCCTATTTTCTCTCTCCAGTTTCTATGCACCCAGAATTTTATGTGAAGAGCTCATAAGATTCCAGTACCCTCTGATTTGAAACTAAACCTCTGATAAATTGTTTATTATTAACTTTTAATTGTTATTGTAGCAACCCCCATGTGCTAGGCACTTTGCAGACCTGTAAAAAACCAGTTCTCTGTCTGAAGATCTGACAAACTACATTAGACAAAACACAGATGAAGGAGTGTGGGAAAGGAGTGGACTACAATATAGTTAAAGTTACTGAGTAGTAGTGGTTCGGACATGACTTCTTAGTTACAAGGATATTTTTTGCCCATTCCAAATCTCAGATCAGATAGATCCTCAGATGGATACTTTTAGATCCTCTCTGCCAGTCCTCTGGTCTGATGCAGATTGGTGCTGCTTCTCGGACTACAAGTGAGTTACCAAGTTTCCATTACTTACCACTCAATCAGCTAGTTTTGCTTTCTTTGTACTCATATTTGTGAGTTCAGTGCTACCCTTCAAAAGTAGCTACCTATACTGTATATATAAATGGTTGTTTGTGCAGCTCATTGTCCAGTTCCATGGTCAAACTCCCACTTCAGTGAACAAAGCCTGCATTTACACACACACACACACACACACACACACCCATTTGCACATGCAAACAGTACTTAAGTGCACAATGCTTGTCTGCATGTGCAATATGGGGGCCAACTGTGAGAATTTGACCCTTACCACTAAATTTTTCATCTGTAACAATGACCAGAAGAAGGGAAGTGTTGATCGTTATCTAGGAAACTACACAGTGTAAATAGCTCCCTACTGTGTTTTATTGAAAGAGTTGTCTCCAAACAAAATGACTGGTAACCCAAATACATACTTAATAGCATTTCCTTCTGGCTGCTGAGCGTGAGATAATGACTGTACATCAGATGCAAAGAACTAAGTCAGGTTTCCAAGTATTTCTTTAAATATAGATGCCTTTCCTACATGACAGATGCCTCTCTTACCGAGGGATGGCCAGAGAACCATGCTTGCTATGACTGCATGTATTCTAGAGTAAGTTTGTGTTTAGTATGACTATACATCAACATATGTCTTGCTATTGTTTGATAATTATAGTTCCTGTGTTGTACTTTTTAGTTAACAATATGGGATATTTCTTTTTATTTTAAGTTAGCAATGTAAACTAAGCAGGAGTCAAGTCATTATTTTATGTAACCAACTAGCTTCATTAGCCCCAAAAGGATTTGATGCAAAATACATTTCTGCAAATTAATAGAACTAACCTGTAAATGAAACAATGAATGAGAAACCTCTTGGTTTTGTCTTACAGTGGAGTTATGAGACCAGGACTGAATGCAATTCTGGGACCCACTGGCAGTGGCAAATCTTCGTAAGTGTTGAAGCAGTGAAAGGACCTGTTTTACTTTATCCATGTTCCTTACCACAAGGAAACATGCCAACAAGAAAATGCCTCTTGAACAACACTCCCAGGGCAAGATTTCAGTCTTAATTCCACCAGAGTAAATCTAAAATAAATCTATGGATTTCAGAGCAGAATTTGACCCCAAGTGGAAATTGTATTTAAAAGCAACAAAAAAGAAAAAAGAAAAAGAAGAGAGCCAATTTTACAAGTTTATTTATATTTATTAAGTAATTTATTTCTTTTTAGTAAATAGTTTCCTGACATGCTCCCCTTATGCATCAATCTACAGTACAGCGGGAGGCTTATTTTATTGAAAAAAGACAATTCTGTTCTTTGAGGGGCTTTTTAAAAAATATGAACTATAGTAAGTTGCAAATTTTCAATATGGGAAAGCTTGTGCACAGCTGACTATATACTGTTAACTTTATTTGTCTGCCAGATTTGCCTTTCACTGGCCCCAACTCCTACACTTTGGTGAAAATGTACACTTCAGAGCTCTTTAAGGTGATGGACTTTTCTTCTTCTAGGCTATTGGATATCTTAGCTGCAAGGAAAGATCCTCATGGGCTGTCTGGACACGTTTTGATAAATGGAGCTCCTCAGCCTGCCAACTTTAAATGTATCTCCGGATATGTGGTACAGGTAAGTCAGTCTACAGTGACTGCATCCGCCTTTGTCGTTTTGACATCCTCTGGGCCAAAATGCACCAGAATTGTCCAATATGAGGTAACTGCAGCAGCTGACTTATCAAAACTGACCCAGGATACAATTTAGAAACCTCACACATTATAGTTTAAAATGTAAATGGGATAAGCTGATTTCCATTTCCAGGATTATACCCTGAGCTTCCACAGGCAGTGGGGACCTTCCACATGTGGCTCTTCCCCCACCCATACAGAATGTTGCTTCTACAGCACCATTGCTCTGCCCATAGAGCTCCACTGAGTTTAGAGGTCAAGAGGGGCTGGAGCAGTGGAGCTGACCCCTCCACAGCACCTTTCACTGCAGAGTACCTGGAAATCCAGGGAGAAGTTTAAACAGCTTGGAACTGTAGTATGTCCCTCTGACTGCTACTGGGCATCTGCAAGGAGACCCAGCCAATAGTAGCACAGTTCCTATTGGTGTACAGTTTGCAAGGGTGAGCAAGGCCATGTCCTTGTAGGACATCATCTGTTTCCATATGGAAAGAGCCTCCATTCCCTATGGATCCTTTGGCTCTACAGAGGTGGAAGGAGGCACAGCCTCTCAAATCCACAGCCCTCCTTAACCCCCTACTACTATAGGGGCCTGTCTCCAGAAAAACTCTGCAATGTGAACCTTACTGAGTTTTCTCCCTCCCTCCCCCCATCTTGTCCTGTGGGTATAGTGGTGAGAGTGGGTGATCTGGCCCTATATTATAATTTATTTTCTATCATAGCATGCAACTACACCTCACATTTGGAAGGTTTGACAAGTGTGTCTATATTCTGAGTTGACCTTTCTTTAGCACTGCTCTCTGAAACAGGTCAGAATTCTAACTCATGTAGAGATCTGAGCCTACAAGAAGGTATCAGAGAAACACATCCAAAATTACAGGTATTTCCCTTCCCTATCAATTGGGTGGGGATGGGTCTTGAGAAACACTACAGGAAATGTTTAAGCCTTGTAAAGGAATATTCAATTTTACAATTGTTATCACTCTGCTATCTGGCTGCTTTTCCACAAGAATAGGAAAGGTATGACTGCCCACCAATGTGCTAGAGAGATTCTTTGGGGCCACTCCTGCGAGCCTTATATTAAAATTCTGCCACCAAATGAAAAGTAAGTTTGGGATGATTTCCCTACCCTTGATGGAATCAATCCCTTTCTGTATCCTAGCCAGAGTTGATTTTACCACTGGGGTTCATAAAAAATGTCATCAGGGCATTCTCCCCCCTTTACAACAGACCAGATTGCTCTAGGTGGAGTGGTATTTTCAAAAATTGTTCCCTCATCGTCCTCTGCAAAGTCATCACTCCATACCTCCACTTCATGCTCAAAAGGTTGGACACAGATCTACACTACCAATATAGTCAATACATTTTTCAAAGTATAAAGTTTTCCACAAATGTACAGCTCATAAGCTTGTTTGGCCAGAGATGATGCCTCCTTCCTTAGGTATGAGAAAGTGTTATTGCTTCAGTAGGAAAACAAATGAATGGATTTCCCCCTATCTCTTGCCTATCTTCAGTGCAATACATATGGTTATTAGAGGCTACGGGAGACCTCTGTTAAATATGATCAGCCCATTACTGACCAGTACTCTCTCAAAACAAAGTTAGTAGAGAGCTGTCTAAACTTTTGTATGATCAAACATCAGATAATAAGTCATTCCCTTTATAAGCAATAAACAAAGCCCAGATAAATCCCCCCCCCTTACTTTTCTCAGAACAAATCAAGATAACCCTCTTCCCCACTCCCCATAATCTAATTTCCCATACCACCCTCTTCTTCCTCCTTTTATACACAGTAGCTGAGGCTGATAGACTAACGAGCTCAGCTGCATATGCTCCTCAGCTCCCTTTATCCCTTCACAGTCTTATTCCAAATCTCCACAACTCTGACAGAGAAAACAGTGGGTTGGTCTTTGCTGTACCTGGGCAACACCAGCTCAAATGTCCAGAGACCTTGCTGGACAATGTACTTCATCACAGCAGATAATGCTTCCTAAATAGGAGTGGTCCTTTGACAGGTGTACAGCTGAAGGAACTGAAGGCTTGATTGTGGATCATGTGGATCACAGTGAATCAGTCCCTTTTATCCTTTTTAATTTTCTGGATCCTGTCCTAAGGATGACATTCTGGTTTTCAAAGATATCACATCATTGACTGACATGATTCTTCACTTGAACTATCAGTTTTAAATTGTTCTGATCTTATAAAGTGAGAAGCTCTAAATTCTGGCTTTTGCTTTCTCTATCCACCATGTGTCTCTCTCTCTCTCTCTCTCACTCACTCACACACACAATTTCTTCCTTCCCACCATCTCCTTTTCTCTTTCAAATTCAAAATGTATTTGGCACCAGGTTTCCCTACTCCATCAGTAGTGCTTTGGCACTTTCTTGGTTCCCCGTTGCCTGCAAGGTGTTTTCCTTTAAGCTGCTGATTCAGATCTAAGAGAGAGAATGCAGATAGGAGTTGCATCCGTTGTCAGGGCCACCTGAAGCCAGACAAGAGTATCAAGGACCATGCTGCCTACCCCCTGCTCTGGTAACCTCAAGAGAGGATTCAGTTTAAATCAGCAGTTTCACAGCACTGCATGGAGCTGTTCTCACAACCTTTCTGCACTTGTTAGTTTCTGCTTAGTTGTGATCTGCAGTTACCACATCCTCAGATATTTGAAGAAAGATTTTATTCACATCTGTAGAAAGAACTCTTTCCAGATACTGATTCTGCAGGGTGCTGAGCACTCTCAACCTCCATTAAAGACAATAGGAGTTGAGGGCACTCTGTTTCCCGCAGGTGATGCTCAGCACCTGGGCAGGACCAAATCCAGAATCAATTTTGTTGACAATTTTCAACTGTATTAAGGAAAATCTATGTTTGAATTTTTTGCTGTGTTGCCATTGTTTAACTGCTCTGCAAAACACTCTGGGCAGGGAGACATTTGGACAGTGTATATACATGTGTTGATTTATTGATATTTCTGCTATTTGATACATGTAGGATAGTCCCTTGTTGCCATAAATTGCACAAACATGCAGAGACTAGTATTGAAAGAAAATATCTGATGGGACGTTCAGGTTTTGAAGATCCAGCCTATTTGATTCTAGCAGCTGTCACTGCCATACAAATGCACTCTGCATGTGAAGTACACACATAAGATGCACGTGCAAGTCCCAGAAGAGGAAGAATTAACATTAAATACGTAATTTTGTTTACTTAGGATGATGTGGTGATGGGAACCCTGACAGTGAGAGAAAATTTCCAGTTCTCAGCAGCACTCCGGCTACCCATGTCTGTGAAGGAACGGGAAAAGAAGGAACGAATTGACCAGATCATCAAGGAACTGGGTTTGACCAAAGTGGCAGATTCCAAGGTAACCTGTCGTATTATGGTGCCCAATTAATAGCAAATATTAAATAATTTTAGATGATAAAATGGCTCCACTTTAGGAGGGGTGTTTTTGATTTAGTGGCTTATTCTAATAGCAGAAGAACTGATAAACCCCAGCACAGCTGCCTGTTCCCATAGTATCAATGAAGATAAAGGCTTGTTACTTCTGTGCCTATCCTTAAACTATCATACACAGGACAGTGGTTACAAGTAGGAGGAAAGCAGGTGACCCAAGTGTCATGAAGAAACTTAGATTTCAGGGTGAAAACGTTTAGGGGCGGGGCCGGCTTCTTTCTGCAACTTTCGGAGTTGCACTATTGCCTTACACAATGTCAACCATTGAATCCATATTTGAATCCATAGTCACAATATAATCACCCAGAACTCTCCCAGAAGTTAATGTGCTGTTAAAGGTGTTGGATGTTCTTTGTTGCATACCTTGAAGTCAGACAAAATGACACAAGCTGCTTGTTTTGCATTAGGTTGGCACCCAGTTCATTCGTGGGGTGTCTGGGGGAGAGAGAAAACGGACCAATATTGGAATGGAACTCATTACTGACCCTGCAGTCTTGTTCTTAGATGAACCAACTACTGGATTAGATGCCAGCACTGCCAATGCTGTCTTGCTGCTCCTGAAAAGGTGACTGTAATGGAAAGAACCAGCCTTGACAGAGATGCACTCCATAGCTCTGCAGTTAAAATGTGGTTAGAATGGTTAATATGTAGTTACTATATTGCTGGGCTTGTTTTATTCCTTTTTGTACCTTGCATTGGATTCTCCAACAACAGGCTGAACTGTGTTTATTTATTGATTTGTATTGGAAGGAATTTGAAAGAAGAAAACTCCACATAGAGCACAGATATTTGATATCTCTATTATTTTCCACTTTACATTCAGGATGTCAAAGCAGGGGAAAACAATAATCTTTTCCATCCATCAGCCCCGGTACTCCATATTCAGATTGTTTGACAACCTGACATTATTGGCTGCAGGAAGAATGCTGTACCATGGCCCTGCTCAGAATGCCATTGAATACTTCAAATCTATTGGTGAGCTTTCTTCTGGAGCTTCAGTCACAACAGTGGACACTGAAAGGAACATGCTTAAAATGCAGTTCTGTTTTGAAAAGTGACTCAGTCAAAATGACTCTTGAATCATGGGATTCAATGGTTAATGTGCCTCATTGTTTCCCATACCAAAACATACTAAAGAATTGTTTTTTTAATATAACAGTAACATTAATGCAAAGTTAAAGTTGAAAAACCAAGCACTCAGAAATCGAGAAATGCAGAGTTGCGGATGAAGGCTGAACCTTAACTGTTACCCTTTGTGCTTATTAGTAATTACTTTAAAAGTAAAAAGTAATGCATGTTGTATCACAGTATTTAGTTTTGTTTTGTTATATGAATTATACACTAAGGCCCTGATTCAGTAAAACACATAAGCACTTTACCCATAGATATGTGGCTTTCAGTAAATCCAAATGATTAAACCTGCCATAAGGAGAAGCAGAAAAATGACTTATCATTAAGTCTATTAGTACCAGCTGATAGGTCAAAATAGCATTAGCAACAACAGACATGCAGTTAGAATTTAGAAGGGCTCATTTGTTAGTTGTCAGCTTTGGATATTTTGAATTCTTACAGCTTTCCTTTTTATGGCAGCTTTGGTAGGGCCAGTTTGCAATCTTCTTCCTCATGTTGGTTAGTAGTTTGGCCAACTGGACCACATTGTGGTGTAAGTTAGTACTCAACATAAGTAAGGGTATCATAGTCTGGCCCATGGTATATTACCTCAAATGCTTTTCAATACATGTTACCATCTGTAGAATGACTTGTTTTAGAGAACTAACACTGTTTCTCTGCAGGTTATGAATGCGAGCCATTCAACAATCCTGCTGATTTTTTTCTGGATGTCATTAATGGAGACTCAACTGCTGTGGCATCAAGCAAGGACGATGCTGATCTAGGTATAAAACTGAAGTTCTTCATACAGTAAGACGCTGATTTGCAGGGTGACAAAATGTGTTTTGGATTTATCCACTCTGGCTCTTTTTCCTCAAACAGTAAGGACTGCTCTGCCAATGAATGCAATAGCAAAACTCCCATTGTCTTTCATGAAAACTAGATCCAGTGCCCTGTTGTGATACAGTAGTGCCAAAAACCAAAATTTGAAAACTCTTTGTAACTATATGCAGGAAATCTTGATATCAGCTTTGCATGTGTACTTAATGCATACAATATTTGTCATGTTGTTGGACTGATTTTGTTTTTCCATCTCTGCAATGGCAGCTTGTTGCTCATAAATTCAGCTGAGGTAATCAATCATTAGTATCACTTTCTTCCAGGACTGGACCATAGGTGGTTATTGTAGTCACATTAACACTGCTATGGATTGTTCTACTACAACCCCATGTAGGGATTGATTCTTTTTAATCTCAACAAAATTATACAGTGCAAGGCCCGCTCTACACACAGACTCTGTACAGCTGTAACTATTTTAGTTAGGGATGTGATTTTAAAAAATTAAATAGCTATATTGGTACAACTCTTAGTATGGATGCAGTTACACCCGTATAAAGATTACTTACATTAGCATAGTTTATTCCCGTATGTGAAGATGAACAAACTATATACGGGTATAAGCACTTTTATACCGATATAACTGCATCCACGCTCCAGGGCACTGTACCACTTTTAACTATGCCACTGTGATGAAAGCAGTACAGCTTTTGTGTGCAGACAACCCCTAACTTTTGTGAGGAAAAGGTTATTTAAGGAATGATTGGCTGTGAGACCCTTCATTCCATGTGGTAAATCTTTGTTACTGAAAGTAAAATTTCTCATTTGCAGGGAGTCCATTTTCTCCTTTGACAGTCTGATCCAAAAGTGACATCAAGGGAAAGACTCCCATGGAGTTCAATAGGTTTTGGATCAGGCCCTATATGCACACATGCTGTAGGAGGAAAACATACTCCTTAAGAATGAAGAGACTCAATCAAGGTTGCAGAATGATCCCTGCACAGTATCGGAAGAATTTCTCAGGGACTCTCCTTTGATTTCTGTTGAATTAAAGTAATTGCTAGTATTTTTTTGCCCTAAACTAAAAAATGAATATTGTAGTTTTCAGAGACTATAATGAACAAGTGCCTTATTCTGCTCCATTGAATTCAATTGGAACTTTACCATTGACTCCAATGAGTGCAGGATCAAGCCCCAGATGAGGAGGGCGAGTCCCCTGACACCAAAGGCCTATACTGTAACAATCCAGAATTGAATTAATCCCAAAACAAAAATGCAAAGATAATAAAAGCTGGGGTGTTTTCAATACCCATAAATCTGAGTGATAGCACATTAGTGACATTTCCACACTATAATATAAAAATGAATTCACCATTGGCCAGGTATAACTGATTTAATAATGGTTTAAACAAACCATTATTAAGGTACCAATTCTGCTGTACAATGTAGATAAAATAAATATTTAAGGGCTAACTTTGGCCTATAAGATCTAGAGAAATCTCCCCCGCCCATGCAATTCTTGTGCTTTATCATTCTAATCATGAATTGTTTAGAAGATTTATTTATTTATTGAGTCTTTCACACTTGGTAGATTTGAGAAACCAAAATTAATGCAGTGCTTTCAAACTGACATAGATCAACTGATTCGGGTGAACAGACAGATATAGCTGTAAATTGTGTTGTCTGGTTGACAACACAGGGACAGATTCTCTCTGGCCCTGAGGGTGCACAGTATTTTGTATCTCCTACTTCTAGACTGAGTGGAATGGATTAATTTAACTAAATAGGCCAATATAATTGCTATCTCATTGCTTAGTAATCAAAACACTAGCATAACTCTGTGGGCTTGATTGCTGGAGAATTACTTTTGTCTATGAATTCAATAAAAGGTAACCAAAATATTTTTTCTCTTTAACCTGAAGATAACATTGAAGAACACATCAACCGTGATAAGACTTTGGCAGAGGCGTTAGCAGAGCACTATTCCAGTTCTACCTACTACAGAGAAACGAAAGCAATATTACAGAACATTTCTTTGGAGGATAAAAAGAAAGTGAAGACAATTTTCAGACAACTTACGTATACCACTTCCTTCTTTCATCAGCTCAAGTGGGTGTCCAAACGCACATTTAAAAACTTGATAGGCAACCCTCAAGCCTCCATAGCTCAGGTAATCATAGTTAATATAACAGTTGTAAGTCTGATTTGATTTGGAGACCATTTCTATCTGAAGATGGGCTAGGCACAATTTTGCACCTGCAAATTATTGGGCCTAAAATTTGTATCTAAAATCGAGGTCAGTATCTGAAAATCTGTGCCATAAAATGCTAGGCTAAATGATCCCAAATAATGAGCATGACAGGGACATGCAACAACTTACACTTACCATTATTTTAGGTGTGTGGGGTCTGATTCTCCTTACACTTATGTCATTAGCGAGACCATTCTGCCACACTGACTCACAGTAAGTAGTCCCCTGCAACCGCGCCATGGTACACCGAGAAGCTGATTCTCAGAATCTCATCCTCACCTCTGATCTGGCCCACTGCATTCTGTTTTTTCCCCCAAGGGAAAGTAAATTAGCTCTCAACATATAATTATATCCTAGTAGCTGAGTCAAAGACAGAGATAGTCTCATGGTCTCCTAATATATATCCAACTTCACATAAAGTTGAAATGGCTGCACCTGAGGATCATGATATGTTATGTAAAATATGTAATGCAAAATATAGATTGGATGTAGCAGGTCTTAAAGGAGGGGAAGCATATTCTATAGTTCAGAGTCTACATGACCTTCTTAATGTTGCATTTTTGGAAATTCAGCACAGTATAATAACGTTCATGGATTTTTAAAATCTACAAGTTGCCTTTAAATAAAGAATGTGTTATTGATTTCTTCTGGGGAATAAGAAATTAGGAAATAACACTTATCGGCTTGATCCTGAGGTCCTTAATCCAGCAACACTCCCCTTTGAATTTTATCTGAGTAATACGAGAGGGGATCGAACCCATAACAACTGTTGTACCCTATCACTGTTATAAATTATCTGGATTGAGAAAAAAACATCTCAAGTAAAATAAAATCAATAGCAAAGGGGAAATCTGTTCAGAATCCATCAAGTTAAAAGGCTTTGTGTGTGTGTGTGTATATATCTGTATGTTGATAGTATGGATATCTCAAATAATTGCATTGCAAAAGCTTGACCTTGTGACAAGAATTATGCTCTCAAGAGCTTTCTAATACTCCAGGGTTAATGGTTCTGACTTTTTTCTCACAATCTTTTCTATCTCCCAAACCTCATTAGTAATGGATTTCAAACACAGTCTATAAATGGTACACAGTTCACTAAGCCATGTTTGCTAATCCTCTCCAAATTGGTCTTGATATGATCCTTTCCCCCCCACTACAATTGGCTTAGTGGCTGAATTATCCCTGACATTTGGTCCTTTCGGCAGGTTCTTAATGATATGGTACCACGTATCAAATGCTTTACAATGTTAAGACTCATGCATCCCTCATGCTTAACCATGACTGAACTGCCTGATACCATCATTTTTGCTGAGATTTTCTTCGCTTCTACTTAGTCTTAAGAAATTGTGACATACAGATTTATCATCCAGATTATATCACTGAATTCACTGATAATTTTGCTATTTTAAAAAAATTCAAGTTGCGTGTTTCTATTTACAAGGAGCCAGATTCTGATACCCTTACTTATGTTGAATAGCATTTACTCCATGAGTAGAGTGCTGTTTAGTGCAAAGCTGTAAGAATCTGGCCCTTAGGGTTAAATCCTGCCCTTCTTTAGAGCGAAAAGGGTACCAGCAGCTCCAAACCGACAATCCACAAAAGCCAGCATGCTAGGTGAGGTTGGAGCTGCCTAAACTAGCCAATGGGAGATACTGACCGGAGGCAGGAGTCCTCCCATCTCTGGGAGATAGGCACCTCCCTGCCTCCTGGATTTATGTGCCTAGCTTCATTTAGCAATCCACAAGTGAGCACCCATTATCTGGAGTCAGTCAGCTTAGCTACCTAAGGCATTTCTTGTGGGAATAAGTTTGGTACCTGCTTCGCACCACCCAGAAACAGCCACTGGAGGAAGTGGAGATGGTGCTACTGTCCACTTTATAACTTTCAGTCCACTGATTAGAATACTTACTTGGGATATGGGAGACCCATGTTCAAATCCCCCTTCTCTGCCAGAGGGGGAGAAAGGATTTGAACAGCAGTCTCCCACCTCTCAGAAGAGTGCTCTACCCACTGAGCTATGGAATATTCTGAGGTGGGGCTCCCTCAGTCTCTCCTGCTGAAGCTGTTCCACTGTGGATAAAAAATGAAAGTGTGATTAGGGCAGGGGAACTGGACCTGGGTAGGTTCCCTAACTACTGGGCTACAGAGTCATTTGCCCCACCCCTTTTCTGGCCTAATGACTACTCCACTGTGCATAAATACTTAAATAGTCATAGTCTGGGATTTAGGCATCTAAGTGCATTTGTGGATCCCATGCCAAGTTTTTGTATGCTCTAGACCAGGGGTAGGCAACCTATGGCACGTGTGCCAAAGGTGGCACGCAAGCTGATTTTCAGTGGCACTCACACTGCCTGGGTCCTGGCCACCGGTCCGGGGGGCTCTGCATTTTACTTTAATTTTACATGAAGCTTCTTAAACATTTTAAAACCCTTATTTACTTTACATACAATAGTTTAGTTAGACTTATAGAAAGAGACCTTCTAAAAATGTTAAAATTTATTACTGGCACACGAAACCTTAAATTAGAGTGAATAAATGAAGACTCGGCACACCACTTCTGAAAGGTTGCCAACCCCTCCTCTAGACCTTCTCCATCTTCCCATCTCTTATCACCCTCTATCTAGGTACCATGAGTACATTTCTTTTCCATCGGGATTCACCATCTACATATTTTATGTAGTTTTTGCAATTTTGAACTTCAAAAAAAATGTTCATTACAATACAAATTTAGATTGTAGTCGTTCTCTCTTTAATTATTTATTTTATTTTATTTTAGCTGTGTGTTACAATTTTCCTGGGACTAGTTGTAGGTGCCATTTTCTTTGGGATAAAAGATGATTTTACCGGTGTGCAAAACAGGTTAGTCAACTCAGGGAGCAAATATCAACGGGGCTGACAAAACCTTGCTGTTACCATCATAAGATAATGAAATTTTTAGAGGTTGAAAATGAACTTTTCTTGTCTTTTGTGAGATACCATAGCTACCACTTTAGAACAAATACATACCTGTAAATCATACATTACAAAATAAGCGCCGGTCCTGCCATGAGCTCTATGTGGCTAAATCCCTCCACCTGCATGAAGCTCATTGCAGACTCAAGGCCTAAGGACCCATTTCTGCAACCTTTACTCATGTTGTCTACTACCTTGTGCAAGTAGTCCTGGTGAAATCAGTGTGGCTACTTGCGTAGCAAGGTACTCTTCATGGCAAGTAAGGGTGGCAGCACTGGATCCTAAGTTTGCAGTGAAAGATTCCTGAAAATTATACAAAATATTAAAAATGCATAACTGTACATTAACCACTTCAACAATTAAACAAACAGTATCTGGAAAGACTTCCCTGAAGTAAAATTCAATGGCCAAATTTTTCAGACTTTAGTTGCCTAACTTCAGGCAACTAAAGCCCTGATTCTGCAAGCACTTATACACATGCTTAACTTTACAGAGGTGAACCTGCTCATGTGAATGAAGTTACTTGAGTGCGTGTTTGACTGGGGCCTAAATTTATATTTGGTACCTAAATAAAAGTGGCCTGATTACCAGAGGGATTGAACATCTGCAACATCTGTGGGAGCTGTTGGTAGTCAGCATCTCTTAAAATCTGGCCATTTTTATTAAAGTGCCTCAGAATTTGTGTATGCCAGAGGCTTAAATTTGGCATCCACATTGGACAATTTTGGCCTTTCATTTTAGCAGGTAAACCCATCTCCAGTTGCTCATAATTTTCTCAAATTCCTTGTAGACTGAAATTTTTGGTCTCATATTTGTGCTCAGTCCGAAGGTGATTTAAACAAAGTATTGAGTAAAGTCAGTCAAATCATTTTTCATTTATTTCTTTCTGACAAGCAACAGATGTTACCCACATATTCCAATAATAAACATTGAACTCAGCTAGCTCAAGATTTGCTAAAGCTTCAGTCTTAGGGCCAAACCTGCTTCTGTTGAAGTTAATGGAAGTTTTACCATTAACTTAACCAGGAGTGGGATGAGTCCCTTAACTTCTTTAGTAGATCTCACTGAAACTTAAAAAATAATACAACTATGAAGAAAATTGGTTTAGCAGTTTGAATGAAGATGGTTTAAAACTTTTCTACCTGTTTTCCCAAGCCTATTTTAAAAGGACACATTTATTTAGGATTCATGTGCTAATGACATCCCACTTAATGACGCCTTGCTTCTCTGGCGATAGGTTATTAAATGTTGTGAATTAGTTGGGTAAGCCAACAAGACAAAAAAGCATAATAAAATATACTTTGTCCATTTATATTTTGTAAAGAAATCTTAGTTATATAAATCCATACTTCAGATTACACCTTTAAATCTCTACTGAGAAATAAGGAGAGAGACAATTTGTGCATGAATTATGGAGTATGTGGAGTAGCAAAGCACATACTAGTGAATGCCAGTAGTTCTTTGGAAGAGTTTAGACATGGTCTATTATAAAAACTACTGAAATTATATTAAAAATAACTGAATAAAGCACTTATGTAGCTGATTTTATAGGTGTAAATATTTGTTTTACCATAGAATTGGAGCAATGTTCTTCGTGACCACCAACCAGTGTTTCAGCAGTATTTCAGCTATTGAACTTTTTATTGTGGAAAAAAAGATATTTATGTAAGTAAAGCTTGATGTAATGGGTAACACTGCCTATTGTTAGCGATGCTTATTCAACTGCTAGTCTTTTTTGTCACCTTACTAAACTGTCATCTAGGTATGTCAATTTAGTTATTCAAACTGGTCAAATTATTCACTGCAAGTAATATTCATTGCCAACATTTTTTTTAATCTTGTTTATGAATTGTTTGCAAACCAATCATCATTTCTGTGGATGGTTTTGTCCATAAATACTAATAGTTTGGATAAATACTATTCACACTGTGAGTTGTTTGTGAACTGTTCACTTCTTTACCAGAATCATATGGAGTTGATACTAATTGGATACTTTGAACTTTACAGGCTTTGAGTCACAAAATCAGAGAATTACATATTTCTATAAGTTAAGTGTATTTTGATGATGTAAGATGTACACTAAAGACTGTGGGCCATACTCAGAGGTTTGTGTACAGCAATATGCATGTATATTTGCATATGTAATTATCAAAATTATAATGACATCTTATTGGTCATTTGCATGTGTAATTACAGTATGTGCACAAATGCAGTCTTATTTTTCCATCTGGAATTGCATGCATGACTTTATCAAAACCTGTCCATATGTGAAAAGGATTTGATTGCTTCCTAATTGATGTAATCTGTAATATGTTGTATATATTTCTGTGTTCTAGACATGAATATATCAGTGGGTACTACAGAGTGTCTGCATACTTCATCTCAAAGCTAATGGCTGATCTAATACCCATGAGGACTTTACCAAGCATCATCTTCACCTGTATAATTTATTTCATGTTAGGCAAGTGCCCTATTCACAAGCTGCATTAAAACTAAAAAGAAAATTGCTTCAGAACTAACAATGTACACTCATTTTATGCCTCTGTCAATCATTTCAGATATCCAGGAGTAGGTTGGGTCAAATCTTCCTTCTTCCACTTAAAAAAATAATCATTTTTTCTGTTTAAACTCCATGTACCAATGTGGCATCATTTCTCTTGCTTGGTGAGTGGAATGTCATGAGATTGCCATTGGTGCTGCTATGCAATTTGCTGGACTGGGCAAACTTGCAAAGTTTCAAGCACTCTTGTCACAGTCTGTGATATGTCCCATCTGCACTTTCCTTGGAAACAGGGGTTTAAGCATCATTCCTAGATGGTTCCGTCTCACTAGTTTCCATGCCGTTATCTTTTCTTTTAGTGACTTTTAATCATTCTATCACAAAATACTTTTCATTACAGTTGGCCCTGCTGATAAAACCCCCTGTAAAAGAAAAGTGTGATTATAAAAACTCAAGCTCCTGGGAACTGATATTAGCCTGCTCTTTTCAGTCATTTCCCCTGGTAGTAAGAACAACTTTAAAATTGCAGACATCCATTTTAGACCATTAATGCAGTTTCAAACACCATGCCTGCTACACATTTCAGGAAGGTCAGATTGAAATATTTCATGGAGCAAGAAATTCAGACAAGAAACTTTCAGGATGTTTCAAAACTTAATAAATAAAAATAATAATAATAATATGTTAGCAGCCTGAGGTGCTGGAACTAGGGATTCTGGGGGTACTGCCGCACCCCCTGGCTTGAAGTGGTTTCCACTATATACAGGTTCACAGCTTAGTTCAATGGCTCTCAGCACCCCCACTATACAAATTGTTCCAGCACTACTGTCAGCAAAATGCAAGTACAGAACAAAAATCATCACTTGCTCTAGTCTGAGTTTTTCCCTTAAAGAAACGAGACATTATGGCACTATTAGGATATACAGAGAGAACATTTACATGGCTGTGAAACAGGGGCGATTCAGAAACTAATGCCTAATCTACAGCTGCCAACAACCCCTGACTCATGAACTACTTCTTGTTCAGTTTTGCTGTGGTGATAACTTGAGCCCTTAGTGAATCTTGGCTTGGCTGAGACACACTACTAGCTTTTTCTCCCTCCATTTCATTGAAAAAGTCCATTAGAATCCCCCATCTCCATCCACAAATACTGTATACACATCAGTTCTATTCTAGACAAAATCCCTAGGCTTTGTGCCCTTGGAAATCTGAACTCCCTTTCCCCAACCAGCAAGGCATAGGAATTTGGGACACTGATCCTTGGGCCTTGCAGACAGTGATCCAAAGTGCATGGTGTGGTGGTGGAAAGAGGGCAGATTTCCTTGAATCAGTCCTCCCACAAAATTTGTTCTAATAAGTGGGGCCAACTACATATATTAAGATAGTACACATTGGCTATGGTACAAGCTCTGACAAAATTATACTAACAGCCTTCTTGTTCTGCTCCCTAAGGTTTGAAGCCAAGAGCAGATGCCTTCTTTATAATGATGTTTACTCTTATGATGGTATCCTACACGGCCACTGCTATGGCGCTAGCGATTGCAACAGGACAGGACGTGGTAGCTGTAGCTAATCTACTCATGACCATCGCGTTTGTTTTTATGATTGTGAGTAGCATTATTATGTTTTTATTTATTTAGACATAAACCCAAGCATCTGTGAAGTTCAGAGCCAGATTGAGATCTCAATTTGAATTCTGCAAAAAGATCAAGAATCTGGGGCTTTCATGTTCCACTTTGTCCCAATACATACATTAACCAAAATTGCAAAGTTCAGGCTTGTTTCTGAACTTCTCCAGAAATTTGGGGTTAAGGTGGGTTTTGGATCTGATGTTCTAGCTAGGGCCAAGTTTTAGTGATGAAAATATTGGGGAAGAAGAGGGGAGGGATCATGCCACAGGTAAGAGTATGATGCATGATGCTCCATCTGCTCTGCAACTAGTGCATAGTTCCCTGTAGGACTGTTGCAGCCAGCATGATTTAGAGAGGACCTTAGCTGATCCAGGGCTGGGGGAGCAGAGAAGTGACTTAGACTCACATTTCTCCTGCTCTCCTCAGCTGAGCCAAGGATAAAGTCCCTTAAATTATGAGACCACTAACTTACTAATCATCAACAAGGAAGCTAACTATCTATTAATAGGCCACATACGAAAGAGATGCGAGTTGGCTGCAGTGCAGCGTGGATAGAAGCATGTCCAGTTTTCCACGTGGGGAAACGCCGCATTGGACAGTGATCTCAGGGCCACTTGGGGAAAACTTTTCCTGAACACTCTCGGTGTGGCTCTTCAAAAGTGCCTGTCTGCCTTGTTTTTGTCTAGTTGCCATAGAGAAGCAAAGGCAGAGTTTGGAGAATAGAAAATACAATTTCATATGATAAAAACCATAACTTAGCAAAAACCTGATTTGGGGTTTTCCCCTAACAACTAAAAGCATAGTACACCAGCAACCAACCTCTATAGGAGTTTACTTGTGTGCTCTGACTGGAGGATATGAACCCCTTATTATCCCCCAATGTAATATGACTCAGACTTCTGTATAGCATATAGATCTAATGGGAGTTACTTGTGCACATTTGATTAGTAATGGTGACTCTGGACTTAAACATTTTCCTGTGAAATGGGACTTAGATTTTTTATTGTGTCTTTACGGTCTACAGATTTTCTCCGGGTTGTTGGTAAATCTTACAAGCGTCATGTCTTGGCTTTCCTGGCTGCAGTATTTCAGCATCCCTCGATATGGCATGACAGTAAGTGCTATGTTTTCCTGTGCATTGTGTTTAGAAGCATTTGTCAAAAGGGACCATCTGAATCTGATGGGAGAAATGAATCCAGGTTTCATAGATTACTGAGTAAAGAGCAAGTTATTTAAACATATGAAAATTAAAACTTGACATGGCATACTTTAGTCAGGTAGCATGAGGAGTTTATGGATACAGCAGCTAAAGGTGATTGTAAGAGGTAAGTGTCTCCTATCTGCAAACAGTTCAAATGTGCAGAGATGTGCAGGTATTTAAATAACTATATATCTCAGTTATAACTATATTGGGATACAGTTTGCATAAAACACTATATAAAATGAAACAGTATTGTATTACTTAAAAACAAAAGAAATTTGCTGTCTTTCACATAGTTGCTTCAGTCACACAGAATATTTAGCTTTTTTTTAAAAACTGAAAGTGAATAGGTTGAATCATATGAGCAATTGCAGGAGGTGGACTTGATAAGAGTTGGATCTTTTCCATCTCTAACTACTATGATCTTATTTTTAGGAAGCTGAGTCAGTAATGCAGTTATGGTGGAAAATATGGAGTCTTTTGAAAGCGCTGGGTTAGACAGCTGCTTTATAGATGACCTCTGTCATATAGGGTGCTGAAGAAACTATATCCTTACATCATGTATACAACTATACTCTTACAACAAAATCAGCTGTTAGAAAAGGTGGATTTGTCTGAGATCATAAGCTATGATGCCATAACACTTTTGAAGATAAATTTGATTTTTAGTAAGTATCTGATCCAGTTGGTTTGTCATCGCTTTAATAGTCATTCAGTTGTTTTTTTTTCTTTTATCTTAAAAGGCTTTGCAAGTTAATGAATTTACTGATCTGAAATTTTGCCCTGGTATCACGAATACAAGTCAGATTGATACGAACTGCACGCAGGTTAGCCAACCGTAAGTATATGTTTTGCATTAAAATGAATCCCACTACTGTACAAGACATCTACAAGATTGCAAGGGCTTTTTGAGTGCTAGAGAATTTGACTTGCATTCACCACCTACAGTAGGATTCTTTACAGTAATATTTCTTTAGTATTAAGAAAAAAAAGCATTTGGGTTTGTTTTTTTCCATTGTATGTGCTAAGATAACATGATACAGAGGCCATTAGCAAAACAATCAATAAAGGTATTCATAGTAATATCAATATGCCTTTGTCATTTTGCATTCATTATGTCTATTAAAACAAAAACAACGCCCTCACACAAAACAGCGTAGCAGGCAACCTTGCAATATCTACTCACCCACTCTCCTGGTAGCCTCTCCTGCTACAAAACTATTAATCATACAACATGAAAAAGAAAATTATAAATTGAAAAGAAAATTATCTCTTATCTTGGGTACTTATATGATCCCCTGACCATAGTATTTGACCACCTCACAGTCTTTAATGTAATTATCCTCACAACACCACTGTGGGGAAAGAAAGTACTATTACCCCCCATTTTACAGACTGGGGAGGCACAATGGGTATGTCTACACTGCATCTGGGAACAAGCCTCCCAGCCTACTTCTATAGACTTGTGCTAGTGGGACTCATGCTAGCATGCTAAAATTAGCTGTGTAGCCATTGCACCCAGGTCTCCCAAGCATGGGACGGGAGGCTTGAGAGCCTGAACAAAGCAACATCTACACAGCTAGTTTTAGCGGATTAGTATTAGCAGGGCTTGCACAAGTCTGTGGACCCGGACTGGAAGGCTCATTCCCAAATGGAGTGTAGACATATCTAGTGAGAATAAGGCCTGGTCTACACTAGGAAATTAGGTTGTTATAACTATGTTGCTCAGGGATGTGAAAAATCCACCCTGAGTGAAGCAGTTAAACCAACTTAACCTCCGGTGTAGACAGTGCTAGGTTGATGGGAGAATTCTCCTGTCGATCTAGCCACTGCCCCCTTGGGGAGGTGGAGTACCTATGCCATCGAGAACCTCTCCCGTTGGGGTAGTTAGTGTCGTCACTGAAGTGCTACCATGGTGCAGTAGCATCACTGCAGCATTTTAAGTATAGATGCACCTTAAGTGACTTACTCAAAGTCACACAAAAAAGTTTGTGGCAGAACTAGACATTGAATTTGGGCTCCTCAGTCCCAGACTAGCACCCTACCCACTGGACCACCCTTTCTGGGTAGCTTAAATGTGTGTACGGTGTTGTAATCTTATCGCAAGTCAATCAAGAGAAGAAAAAATGGAATTTAAATCCTATGGTTCTGGGGGTCAGGAACTCCTGACGTGAAATGTCTCCATGCATTTTTCTTAAGACTTGGCTGCTGCAAAAATGCCTTTGTTGTCATGTGGAATTCCAGTTTAAATGAACATAACATAACAGACACCTAACAAAGGATTCACTTTTAAAAATCTCTGTTTGTATTTGTAGATATTGTACTGGAGAAGAATATTTGAAAAACCAAGGAATTGAGGCAACTTCCTGGGGCCTGTGGCAGAATCATGTGGCTCTTGCATGCATGACAATAATTTTCCTTACAATTTGTTATCTGAAACTGCGCTTCATGAAAAAGTTATCTTAAAACAAAAGTGTAAATAAACTGTGATTCACACTGTTTGGATAGTTTTATAAGTTAGAACACTGAATTGATTTTTTGTTAATAGTACTCTTTTGTATCTTATCTCTTGCCTCAAAATTTAACAAAGTTAACAAAAATCTTCAGCAATATTAAGTATTCATTGAAATTGCACTTTTTGGAAATTTACAGTATTCCTGAATTTTCTTTATGGTCATGAAATGTACATATGAGTATTCATCTCTTCATTAGACCAATTGTAAAGGCAATTTTTTACTACATGCTATTTGTTAAAATACAGAACAATTATGAAATGGTAATAATTAATGGCTCCATCCACAAAGAAAAGGTTCCATGGTTGGACCTATTTTCTTAATTTTGCACATCCAGAGTGATACTCTGACAAAAATAAATCAATCTATTTTTAAGGTCCTGGAACACTAATTTAATATTTTATCTCTCCTATTTCCCTCCTCCACACACACTACATCACATTGTAGTCGTCATATTTGCCATGGGCCAGATTTTGCCTGGCCCTTATATGGTTGCATAGTTGGTGGTGGGGAGGGGAAGTCTAAGAAGCTGCCAACCTTTGTGTAGTCTGTATAAGAACTAGGAAGAATTGCAGCCCCTGCGGTTAGTTGGGGCATGCTGGGAGTGTCTTATTCCTTGGGGTGCAGTGCCACAAAAGGAGAAGCAGGCAGAAGGTGAGGTTATGGCTCTGCCCAGCCTCTCACATCTGCTCACTGGTCAGATGTAAAATCGGTTTGCATGGCTTCAGTAATGTGGAAATATTTATTGCTGAATACAATCTTAACTATCATGCATGGGAAAATGTGCATTAAAATATACATGCCAAATATAATGTATATTTTCTTTGCACAGTGTTTCAGTTAGGAACACAGAAATTACCATACTGCAACAGACCAGTAATCTACTTTGGTGTCCTATCTCCATTGTGAGATTTTTTTTTAAAGTAATAATTTTTTGGTTATTTTTATTTGTCTTCTGCTCTTAGGGTGAATTTGCTTCATGTTTTCAAGCTTTATTCTGGAACCATGTGGGCTAGAAACTTCTTTGAAGTGAGAGCTGAGATTCTCATGTAATCTCTTGATTCCAGCCATTGCTTGGTGTTTTCCTTAAACCCTCATCGCCAGACTCATGATCAAATAGTGAGAGCTGGCAACACTGCCTTAACAACATACTACAGCTGTAATACCTGGAGAAACTACATATTAATGTAAATAAATTATCACTTTATGACAGGTTTCAGAGTAGCAGCCATGTTAGTCTTATCCGCAAAAAGAACAGGAGTACTCGTGGCACCTTAGAGACTAACAAATTTATTTGAGCATAAGCTTTCGTGGGCTACAGCTCACTTTTTTGGATGTACAGAATGGAACATACATTGAGGAGATATATATATATACACACACATACAGAGAGCATGAAAAGGTGGGAGTTGTCTTACCAACTCTGAGAGGCCAATTAAGTAAGAGAAAAAAACTTATCACTTCTTTCCCTCTTACTTAATTGGCCTCTCAGAGTTGGTAACACCCACCTTTTCATGCTCTCTGTATGTGTGTATATATACCTCCTCAATGTACTCCTGTTCTTATCACTTTATGTTGCATTTTAAATTTCCTTATGTCAAGTACCTCCTGTTTTTGTGTTATCTGATGGGGAAGATAGGTGTACCCTAAAGATATTCTCCATTCTGTTAATTTATATAACTCTGTTGTATTTATTCCTACTCTCCTTGAATGGACGGCTTCTCAGCTCCTGTGCAACAAATTATCTTTGTTGTCCTTAGGATTTTTTCTGTTGCAGCTATAGTGTGTCTTTTTAATGTGGTGACCAAAAATAAATGTGTTATTCAAAGGAAGTACTATCTGGTTATGATGGCATTATAATGCTTTCTGTATTCCATTATCCATCTTAGCAGAGCCTAACATCTTAACATTTTTTCCATTGTTGCACCTCTTCAGTGAGCTGCCTTCAATGATTCTTATATATTTTTCCCATGGTAACAATTTAAACTGTCAGTATGTATGTGAAGTTCCCTCCAGTATGCATTACTGCCCGTGTCCATACTGAATTTTATTTAACATTGTGTGGCCCAATTACCTAAGTGTGTTAGGTCCTTCTGAAATTGCACACACTCCTCTCTAGTCTTGACTAATTTAAATAATTTTTTGTCAGCCACAAATGTTACTGTCTCAACATTTACGCTCTTCTAGATCATCCATAAATAAACTGAACATCACCAGTCCTGCTATTGACCCATTTTCTCTGTGAAATTTGTAATATTAAATAAAATGCGTTAATAAGTAACAAAAACATGTAAAAAGAACCCAATTCTGCAGCCCTTAGTGTTCAATTGAGGTCAGTAGGGCTGCAGGATTGTGCCCAAATGTATGTGGGAATAGTTTTAGTTTGTTTTCGTTATCACTGATGTGTTCACGTTTTTCTCAATGGTGGACAGAAAAGGTTGTGTCTGGGGCTTGAGAACATATGCATTGTCATCAGTGAAGTGTCACTAAAACACTTTTTGAAAAAATTGAAGAGCCCTTTTATATGCACGTGGGTTGTAATATACTGCAGCATGGTTTCCCCTGAAGTCCTAAAAGCTGATATCCCACCATTTTAAATTTTCTTCTCCATGTATTTTCTTTACCGAAATCCTCCCTCTTTATTTTAGGTTACTAGCAAAATAAATCAGGTAAGCTGTAGTTTTAAAATTTCCAAATGTTTCAGACCTTTGTTGTTGACATTAATTCTATTTATATCTTAGCTACTGCTGTTTCTTAAAGTCATGGGGAGAAACCCAGCTAACGTCTGAATTCAAACCATAGTGATGTAACAGATAAAATATAATTACTGTGTATTTTCTACCAAGGCATTTATCAAAAGTATGAAGCCATGTTTCACAACTGATTTTATAACATGTTTTGTAATAGTGTCTGATGGATGCTGGTACAGTGATGGTTGCTCACTGTGCCACTAGCCAATATACTGACATTCTGACTAGCATAGAGATCACGCCTGTTTACTTCATTCAATCACAGCAAGTCACCTATGGAAAGTACAGTCTTTAAAAAACGTATTGTGCATCTGTGAATAAGCTGGTTTCTGAATGGTTGAAATTTTATTTTTAACCTTTTCAGGACATAATTGTCAGTCACACAGCAATGTAGGTGGCTGACACAAATTTTTGTGTGGTATAACTGATTGTTAGTTATTCATATTATGTATGTTTGTTCCATTAATTAAAATATAAAATGTACTTCTTAACATTCATTGAACTGATTTCAATAATACTATGTACTATTTGATTTATTGTCTGTCCTTCTGACCTGTCACAAAATAAGCTGTTTTGTCACAATCTCCAGTGAGATATCTGAACTGTACAGTATATGCAAATGATATATTCCTGTATAACAGAAGCAAACTTGTATGTAACATTGATATTTATTATGCAAACCTTCTAAAAATCATCTATCACAGTCAAGGTAAATGACCATCAAAGTAGCCAATAGCTCACCAGTGCCATGGCCTTAAAACCAGCAGGTTCCTAAGCAAATGACTATGGGTTTGTACCATGCTCATAAATAAAGCCTTTATCTGACTGTGCCAGTGATTTTGGTGAATTATTTTCCTAGTCCCACTTTTGCTGTTAGAGACAACATAATGTTCAGTGCTATGACTATATTTGTCAAGAACTTACATAGGGTTCTTGAAATTGGCATCACACATCTATAACTGGGCAATATTAAAAGGAGACTATTGGATTTTATTTTATTGGATTTTATTGCACAGTTTTCCAGGATAACCGCACAGATACCCTTGGCACAATTTATTTTTATATATAAAAATAAAGTGTCGGTGAATAATGTCGCTGTTGGTTTTTAAACCTTTTGGGGGAGGGCGTTATTTCAATGTTGTCAGTTGCACAGAAGGGCCTGTACTCGCCACACTTGCGCTCTCTTTCTCAGACGCGTTTATTGAGCGGGGGCGGGGGCACAACAGACGGCGTCGGTGTGGGCGCAGGAGCGCGCAAAGCGCGGAGCAAGGGCCCCCGGTGCCTGGGGCAGAGAACGAACAACGGGGCGGCTGCTCCCCTGGCCGGGCCGTTGAAACGTGCGCGCGCTCCCAGTGGCAGCCGCCGGTGGCTTCCGTTAAAGCCGTTACTCGCTGCACGTGCTGGGGGGGGCTGCCTGAGAAGTAAGAAAGGGTGGGGGGGATGGGCAGACGCGAGCCGACCCCATCAGCGCGAACCGGGCACCCGCCACCCTCCTTCGCCACGTGCCTGCCCGCGCATCCTTCTCACCTGCGCATTTGCTGCGCAGCCAGCGCGGGGCGGTAGGAGGCGCTTCGCTGCCGCAGGGAGAGGCGGACTTGAGTCCGGGAGCGGAGCGGGGCCGTGATCCCAGCAGCAGCTGAAAATCCAACCAGCGACTCTCCCGTGAGCCGTGCAAGGTAAGGGTGACGGTAACTAGGGTGACCAGATGTCCCGCTTTTATAGGCACAGTTCCGATTTGGGGTCTTTTTCTTATATAGGATCCTATTGCCCCTCAACCCGTCCTGATTTTTCACTCTTGCTGTCTGGTCACCCTAACTGTAACTGTGCTGCGGGGAGAGGGGTTCAACCCTACTCCTATACACCTACACCCGCGAGTGTTTGCTCAGTGGTTTGAGCATTGGTCTCCTAAACCCAGGGTTGTGATTTCAATCCTTGAGGGGGCCACTTGGGGATCTGGGGCAAAATCAGTACTTGGTCCTGCTAGTGAAGGCAGGGGGCTGGACTCGATGACCTGTCAAGGTCCCTTCCAGTTCTAGGAGATAGGATAGATTTATTAATTATTATTATAACTATGTACAACCTCCCCATCTACACCGCACCTGCACTGCAACCATCCCGACACCTACACCCCAAACATGTACAACCCCCCATACACACCTACACCCCATCTGCACCGCAACCATCTATACACCTACACCCCAACCATGTACACCCCACTCATACACACCTACACCCCGTCCACACTGCAACCATGTATACACCCACATCTACAACTACACCCCACCCCATACATACATATCTACACCCCAACCGTATACAACTCATCTACACGCCACCCAAACCACATACACACCCCTACACCTCCATCTATACACACTTAAACTCCCCATCTACACCTACATTCCACCCATACACCTATACCTACCCCATACACATCTATAACCCAATCTACACCACACAAATACATACATCATCCTACCCATACACACCTACACCCCCTCACCCATACAACCTTCCCCCATGTACACCCCAACCACATAGAAATATCCTTTCAGAGAAGCGATAGAGAAACTAGATAACTCTCAGTCCCTTTATAGAAATGTTTTTAGTTCTCATTTAAAGTAAAGTTAAACAATAGTAAATATTGTGCAAAAAATAGTCTGTATGAAAAGCACTTCAGTAAATACAACATTATAAATATAAATATATACTCAAATAAATCACCGTAAAACAATTGACTCTTTATAACTCTTGATTTGGTTGATTTATTTTTTGTCTCATTACCCTTTCATTTCTTTACATTGATTTATATAAATCTATACCTCCCACATGCAATCTAATATTTTTTGTCTGTAGTTGTGTGTCACTTACAAATATAGTCATAGCACTGAACATTATGTTGTCTAAATCATTAATAAGTCTCTACCAAATTCAGGGTCTATTTGGTCAATTTCATGGCCAGAGGGTTTTAAAATTGGTCAATTTCACAATTTCAGATGTTTACATCTGAAATTTCAGGGTGTTGTAACCATGGGGGTCCCAACTCAAAAAGGCATGGGGGGGGGGGGACGTTTGTAAATTTGTTGTAAGGGTGTCGCAGGATTGCCACCCTCACTTCCATGCTGCCTTCACAGTTGGGCTCTGAAGGCAGCAGCAGTGGAGCTTCCTGAAGAGGGAGGAGGTTCCTGGATGTGGAGAGGAGTCTGATCTCCCCATTCTGCTAGGAGTGCCCCAGCCAGGGGCTCCTATCCGCTAGCCTGCACGGGCTGGAGAGGGACAGGACTTGCTCTTCCCCTGCACAGCCCCTCTTCGGGGGAGATCAGACCCACCTCTGGGTACTTCCCCGGGCTGCAGGAAGCTCCATGGCTGGGCAGCAGCCCCAGCGCTTCCTGCAGCTGGAGGAGGTTCCTGCAGGCGTCTCCCCGTGCTGTTGGGAGCACCAAAGCTGAGGCTTTATAGCTGCTAGTCCCTGTCAGTGGTGGATTAACACAGGGGCCCTGGCCCATTTGCGGGGCCCCTGGAAAAATGGGCACCCTGAGCCCTGGCAGAATCCAGGGGGGTGGACTTATTTCACAGTCCGTGACCCATTTTTCACGGCCGTAAAATTGGTAGGGCCTGAGTTATTAAGTATAGTATAAAAGTGGACAAAATTAGCCATAATACAGATGTGGTACTTGTCTTGTCTCTTTGCAGGCTCTTGTTTGCATTATATTCGAGTTACAATATGAAAAAGTAAAATATTGTATCTTGTATAGTAAAGATTGAAAGTTTTGCTGTTGCCTTCTTTCCAGAGATGTAACTTTATGGAGATGATTTAGCTGAATTTGTTCATTTGTGGGTTCAAAAACTGAGTAATGCTTTGAGGAAAAGGCTAACAAGTAAATAGTAGTTTGAAGGAATTGGGCTTTATTAAAAAATGAAACAATAGTGTCAGGAGGTATTTATATGTCATTTCTCAAATAATGGCATTCAATTTTGGTATGCTATGATTGACTGAAGCCTTGCTGTTATTGTATAGTTGATTTTTTTTTTAAGAGGAATTAGTAGGATATGAGAGTGTCATGAATGTTGCCATACATGTAGGTTTCTCCCACAACAAAACATTAAATTTATATTTTAACTACTTGTTTCTATTGATTGTTTTTATTGTGAATGGTAACTTTTACTATAATTATTTTTGTTATAAACAGCAGAAACATCCTTTCAGAATGACAGAGAACCAACCACACAGCAGTATTCAGATATCAGAACCAAGTACCAATGGCTTCCCCTTGAGAAAACTGTCCTCTATAGAAAAGAGAAAGTTTCCTGCAGAAGCCACTGTGACCTTTCACAACATCTGCTACAGAGTGAAAGTGAAGAGTGGCTTTTTATATTGTCAAAGAGCTGTTCTTAAACAAATTTTGAAAGATATCAAGTACGTATTTAAAAAATGTCTAGTGTATGTTAATGTTGTTTTCTTTTTCATACAGCTTAGTCAACAACCTCATGTCAACATCCATCAGATGGATTCAGGAATGATTGATAAAATGACTGTAAAAAATAGTTTTTGAATTCACACTTTGTATGTTAACTTTTGTATTAGTTTATAAAACGGAATTAATGTGATATTGATACATTTAATACATGAGGTTTACAACATCAGTTGTGTGTTATTTAATTTAAACTTAATGCTGTACTGATATTTCTTTTATAAATGTTGTATGATAATTTGAAAGAAAAAAAAAGCGAAGAAATGAGTAGTTTAGAACCCTTATACAGATGTGTTGTTTGCAGCACTGCAAAGAAATACCTCAGTTCAGTTGGAATTTGTGATTCATATTGAAACTCTGATATATTTGAGAGTTTGAAAATCACTTTTCAGATGCTTAACTCAAGGCCCACCTTAGTTCTGATGGCAAAGATCACGTTCGTGTGCAAATCACCACCAGTTTGTAGGCATAAACTGTAAGTTCTCAGGAAAAATGTGTAAATGTCCATGCTAAAGTCGGTATGCAATTGGACCTGAACTTTGGGAGAAAAAGAGGAGCTAAATGTGTGGGGCTTTTTTTTTTTTTTTTTAAATTTGTTAGTCTCTAAGGTGCCACAAGAACTCCTTGTTGTTTTTGCTGATACAGACTAACACAGCTACCACTCTGAAATATAATTAAAAACTAAAAATTACTTACTAGAAGATCATTAAATTTTTTATAATTTTGTTATTTCACATAGCTGAGGAATGTCACCAGTTCCCAAAGGATTTTGTTTTTACAATACCACACAAACAAAAAAGGCCTTCAAATTAAATGAATTAATCTACAAATAGAACCATGAATTCAGGAAATGTTGCTTTTGTTTGCAGTGGGATTATGAGACCCGGTCTTAATGCAATTTTGGGACCCACTGGCAGTGGCAAATCTTCGTAAGTATTGAAGCAATGAAAAGACTTGTTTTATGTTATCCATATTCATCACGTTGAGAAACCACGCCAAACAGAAAATGTGCCTGCATACTTACAGTACGGATGATTAGGAACACAAGAGCCAAGTGTTCGAAGTGGCTTCAACCCAAACTCTTAATTAATATGCCCCAAACTGCATCTCTATTACTCAAAGGACAATTCAGATTTCCATGCTCAAAAATAAGGTATCTGGAGTTCAGCTATTTGATTTAGGTGTACAAACTAAATTTGTGATGTTAATCTAAGTTTTGGAACCTTTTCCAGCTGGCAGAAATTGCAGCAGCTCATAGGCTGCTCAAACCTTTGCCAGGGCCAGCACAAAGACTCCCTAAAAATCAGAGAGCCCTAACCCTGACAGTCCCACCTCTGCTTACTGTGAGCAGATCTTGTCACAGGAGAAATGCTGAGCTTGCATTCAGCATCAAAACTGTGTGCACATCACATTTTGTTAACTGGATTTGTATGCCAAATTTATCTTCTACCTACTCCACTGTTCAAAGATTTACTCTTCAGAACCCTTTTGGGAGCCTGATTTTTCTTTTTCTAGGCTATTGGATATCTTAGCTGCAAGGAAAGATCCTCACGGGCTCTCTGGAGAGATTTTGATAAATGGAGCTCCACGGCCTGCCAATTTTAAATGCATCTCTGGATATGTGGTACAGGTAAATGAGCCTGCAGTTACTATCTGCCTTTACTGTTTTAACCTCCCTCCAGAGGGAGACACAATCTGGATTAAAATTAACCACTAATTGATTCATACAGACCCGTGATGAGAATTATGGTATAAAATTTATTGACAAAAGAACCTGATAAAAAAAATGTAGAAACCAGTGTAGTGTTTCTTACTCCTTTTCTAGTGTCCCAATTTTTGATAATTTTTTTTCTATTGTAAACAAACACCTCATGTGACGTTTGGTAGTTTTTCCATTTTCTACTACACTTTGGTTATTATATTGAATCACCCTGACTGAATTTCACCTGAATTTGAACCATTTTCATTGGCCTCAAAGACTACAAGAAGATGTTACGAGAAGATTTTCTTTGTTTTTATTTTCAACCCAATTGTTATGTTTTTAATCGTTGCTGAAAATTTGCAGGAAAATGACCTGCAGTTAGAATCATAGAATATCAGGGTTGGAAGAGACCTCAGAAGGTCATCTAGTCCAATCCCCTGCTCAAAGCAGGACCAATCCCCAACTAAATCATCCCAGCCAGGGCTTTGTCAAGCTGGGCCTTAAAAACCTCTAAGAATGGAGATTCCACCACTTCCCTAGGTAACCCATTCCAATGCTTCACCACCCTCCTAGTGAAATAGTGTTTCCTTATATCCAACATAGACCTCCCCCTCTGCAACTTGAGACCATTGCTTCTTGTTCTGTCATTTGCCACCACTGAGAACAGCCTAGCTCCATCTTCTTTGGAACCCCCCCTTCGGGTAGTTGAAGGCTGCTATCAAATCCCCCCTCACTCTTCTCTTCTGCAGACTAAATAACCCCAGTTCCCTCAGCTTCTCCTTGTAAGTCATGTGCCCCATTCTTGATTGTTTCAGATGTGCCTCCTTTACATTTTTTTCAATATTATTTTTATTACAGTATTGTCTTGAGGTGTCAGTCAGGGTAAGGGCCCAATTGCATTAGCTTTGTACAAAGTTATCTACATTATACAGTTTTTTCATTTGTCCTGTTACTACTTTTATATTCAGATTTCTGCTTTGCTCTTTGTGCCTCCAACTGTGATATCCTAGAGAGAGCTTAGGGTATGTCCACACTGCTACTGGAAGCAAGCCTCCTAGCTAGTGTGGCAGACTCATGCTAGCTTCACTCAAGCTAGTTAGTGCGTTAAAATAGCAGTGTGGATGTTGCAGCTCTGGAAGAGATTCAGACTAGCTACTTGAGTTCAGACTGAGGGGGTCAGGTAATCTTGAAAGCCTGAGCTGCAATGTCCACACTACTATTTTTAGCACAGTAGCTTGAGCAGAGCTGGCGTGAGTCTATCTATCCTGGCTGGGAAGCTCACTTCCAGCTGCAGTGTAGACATAGCCTTTCAGGTCTAGTTATGGGGAGAGGGAGTGTGACTTGTTATAGGGACTGTCCAGAGTAGGGACCATATCAGAGTTATAGTTGACTAATTATTCCCAATAAATTTGGGGTGTGTGTGGAGGGCTGAAGGGCTGGCTTGTGGAAGACTAGCAGCCGATTATGGATCAGCCATGTATGACCAAAAACTAGCTTTGGAAGCTTGTAAGTTATCTGAAATTTGTTATTTAAAAAAAAATTATTGAGTTTAAAGATACTTAAAATTCAGCAAACTCCTGGAATCTTATTTGAGAGACCACCATTTAAAAAGACATTGTCATATAGTTCAGGCTCCAACTGTTCGCTATCTTAAATCTGAATATTATCCTATCTAGTTGAAATATCGTCTGGATACTTTGGGCCAGATTGTGAGCCCAGATATAAAGGTGTAAACCAGAGTAACTCCATTAAAGTCCATGAAGTTATTCTGACCAGTGCTACTGAGATCAGAAAATGGTCTTATATACTGTTTTACCTTTTCTGAGAAATTACTCCTCCCAGAGTCAACACTGGGAGGATCAGCACAACATGTGGGATCAGCACAAAAACAATGTTTCGTACCCCATCTTTTCCATGCTTCTCCACCTGGGGCTTGTTCCATGAACATTCCTCCATCTTTTCAGTTGATATCAACTGGTGGTAGCCAGCTGGCCTTTTCCATCTTTGGGGAGCTGGCACAGAGGACAACTCTCTCCCTCAATCCCAAAGAAGGTACTATAATCTTTTTGGGAAAGACTACTGCCCTTCCCTCACTTCGCAGAGATTAGGTCTAGCTAGCAAACTGAGTCAACTGGGCTCTGGCTTTATAGGCAGAACGCAGGAAAACTCCGTATCCAGTGGACACCATTTCCCTTCCCTGGTGAATCCATACCATATATAACCTTTGATTCATCAGCACAATGCATTCTCACTCATGGGGGTGTGGGGGACGACTTCCTATCCTGGGGAATACCTGCCAAACATGGTCTTGGATTCTCTTGGATTCAGAGGATGGGCTTTCCCTGTCCTGGGGTTTTCCACATAAGAACAGCCATACTGGATCAGACCAAAGGTCCGTCTGGCCCAGTATCCGGTCTTCCAACAGTGGCCAATGCTAGATGCTTCAAAGGGAATGACCGTAACAGGTAATCATCAAGTGATCCATCACCTATCGCCCATTCCCAGCTTCTGGGAAAACAGGCTAGGAACACCATCCCTGCCCATCTTGGCTAATAGCCATTGATAGACCTATTCTCCATGAATTTATCTAGTTCTTTTTTGAACCGTTGGTCTTGGCCTTCACAACATCCTCTGGCAAGGAGTTCCGCAGGTTGACTGTGCGTTGTGTGAAAAAATACTTCCTTTTGTTGTTTTAAACCTGCACGCCTATTAATTTAATTTGGTGACCCTAGTTCTTGTGTTATGAGAAGGAGTAAATAACACTTCCTTATTTATTTTCTCCACACCAGTCATGATTTTACAGACCTCTGTCATATCCAGGTTTTAGATTATCTAGCAGTGGGAATCCAATACAGTAAAGGTTTGGGCTTCTATTTCCACAGACCACAGCCAGGCATCCTCCAGCACAAGTAAACAGACCACTAGAGGTTGGGACTTCTCTGGGCTGGGGAATCTCCCTAGTTGATGGGCATGAAATCCCTTAGTACAGATTCCACCATGAGAAGTTAATGTTAATACGATTTCAAAAGTAAAGAGAGCATTTAATTGTAAAGGATGAGGCATATATCTGAAAAGCGTTTGCTTGTTGATGGAAAAAGCTCTGTTGGACTCTTGTATCAAAAGTATCATAATTGTGAACTTTGGTCTTGTTCAGTTTTCCCTTCCTGCAGATGTTAATGCTTATTCGTTACAATACTGTAGCATGGTATAAATAAAGGAAAAATTAAGCTTGAGACTAAAACTTGCTAATATTTTTGTGTCTTGTAAGAATGATGTGGTTATGGGGACCCTGACAGTGAGAGAAAATTTTGAGTTCTCAGCTGCACTCCGATTGCCGAGTACCGTGTCTGAACAGGAAAAGAAGGAAAGAGTGAACCAAATCATCAGGGAACTGGGTTTGGCCAAAGTGGCAGATTCCAAGGTAACTACACATGGCATAGCATGACATGGTATTTAATATTACCAAACAAAAAGCTGAGGTATGAGACAGTTGGTGTTGTAATTACATAGCATTTAACAAACAAACCAACCCCATTAGAATGTTGTAGTTACAATCAACAAACATTTGAAAAGCAGGAAATTTAGAGTTAAGACTACCTTAAAGTATACTTCTACCCTGAAGAGAGTCTTGAAAATGGCATTGTGATGTTCTATATATAGTAGCTCAGTGATTTCTATATCAAATGTGTTCAATTTACAATTCAAAAAGTGTTTTTTCTAACTTCCATCTCTGTAGTTAAACCCTGGGTTCTGTAAATGAAGCTGAGTTCTTTCTTTCTAGCACTTTATCATCAGTAATAAAGACTCTGCATATCAAATGATGCCTTGTGATACTTCTGTAACCCCATTCAGTGAATGGGGGATGTACAGATGTCACTGATTGGTTGAGCAAATGGAAGTTAGTTAAATAATTCTGTTAAAAGAACAGATGACATCTCAGGCTCTCTCATCGGAATAAAATGCAGTACAAATTATTTTTGTCCTGAAAGTAACCAGATATGACTTTGAATACATGCAGAGAGCAGATCTGTTGATTTAGAAGGTGCATTTTTACACACTCACTTTTCAGAATAGAATTGCACTTTGCTCCCCGACATTCCACCATTTGTGGCACCATTCACACACACTAAATACGGGTCTATATGTATTTTTTAATCCTGAGGTGTTTAGAAGTCCTGGGGATTAGCAGCATAGCTACGTATTTTAAATTTACAGCATTCTAATAAGGCACTTTTTAAAAAGCTACCTACATTTACCATCTTAACTTTATCTTAATTTTTTTTTGTTAGAAAACTGGTTCATTTTTGATGCATTGCTATCATTTCATCACTAAATCATGTGAATGTGTTTGTTTCATATAAATATTGATTTCTGATCTGACATCTGAAGTTGGCGCTAATATTTTCCTGGATTTTGAGAAAGTTAATAAAAATTAATTAATTAATTAATAAAGAAATCTCCTTTTAAAGGTGTGATGCTTCTTTTGCACTAGGTTGGCACCCAGTTTATTCGTGGTGTATCTGGGGGAGAGAGAAAACGGACCAATATTGGAATGGAACTCATTACTGACCCTGCAGTCTTGTTCTTAGATGAACCAACTACTGGATTAGATGCCAGCACTGCCAATGCTGTCTTGCTGCTCCTGAAAAGGTGACTGCAATGGAATCACTGGGAAAGAACTATCATGTCTTTGATAGAAGTGTACTCTATATACTGTATCTGGAATTAAGATATATTTAGAAATAGTCACAGCCTGATGTATTAGTTTATGATTGGGTTATTCTCATGTAAGGGAATGGAAACTGCAGGCTTCCACAAATGGAATTTCCTTCTAATTCTGCTATCAGCTAGTGTAGTGCTTTAGCAGTCATCCCTCTCTCTCTGGCTCAGTGGGAGGCCACTCCACCTCACCACATCACTGGGGCACTGCCCTGTTTCAGGGGAGTTGTGATGCAAGTGGTGGGGTCGAGGCCCCTCTGGCAGGATAGAGTAGGGCAAACAAACAGTCTCGAGGCTCCAGCCCTCAGCCAGGGCAGAGGAATCAAATAGTCTTAGAGAGTTCAGGCCTTCAGGCAGGGTGGAATACCAGACAGTCTGTCATCCTCACGCAGGCAGATGGCAGACAAATGTAGGCCCCTTGGCCTAAGGTGGAGAAGCTGCCACCCCATGGATCCCAGGCCCTAGCCCAGGGCTCTAACGGTGGCAGATGGTTCCACCACTGGGTCAGGGGGGATCCAGCCACAACACACTGACCTGGATTCAGGCAGCAATACAACTGGACCATAGCTAGGGTGACCAGACAGCAAATGTGAAAAATCAGGACAGGGGGCAGGGGGTAATAGGAGCCTATATAAGAAAAAGACCCAAAATTGGGACTGTCCCTGTAAAATCAGGATATCTGGTCACCCTAACCATAGCTGGCTGACCCTGAGGTACTTTCTGCTTGCCCACCATCATGTACCTGCAGCTCAGGGCTGTCCCTGGTCTCTTTGGGGTATGTGGTGAATGGCAGTCCTGGCAGCTCTTTGCCTGGGTCAGTCTCCTTCAGCGGCAGGGCGTGGCAAGGCGCAGCACAGGTTTCGCTCCGGAGAGCTGCAGCAGCCAGGAGACATTTGCTTCCTTCCCTGGCTCAGACTCAACTGGGTTATAGGCTCTCCCTTTTATACTTCCTGCTCCACCCCTTAGCTTTCAGCAGGAGGGGCAAGCCTAGCCTGGCTCCGCCCACTAGGAATCACAGAATGGTTCCTCCCTCTCTGACTCAGTGGGAGGCCTCAACCTCCCAGTTGTTTCCGATAAGGCCTCACTACAATGGGTCAGACTCTGTCTCCTGTTCCACAACCCACACTGTGCCAAAAGGGGCAGGGAATTTGGACCAACAAACAAATCCTTTTGGAGGATCTGCCCAGGGAAAGGAACTTTGATATAGAAATCTCATGCATTCACTGTTACCTACCCTGCCATTTCTCAATATCCCGAGGACAGCTCTCTGAATAATGTGTCATGTGTTTGGAGTGGGCAAGGGAATGCCACACCTCATGGAAGGAAGAGCATTGCTAGTTACTTTACGCTTAAATGCTTCTGCAGTAATTTACATTACTTGGTCCTGTAGGTATGGGAGGTTAGAATCTGGCCAAGACTTGATGCGCCCCACTTTCTCTTTGTCCCACCTACTAAGGGCTTTAGGATTTGGCCCTTTTAAACTTTCTTCTGCTTTGTTTGCTCCATTATATCTTATAAAACAATATGCAACTTATCCTAAGATGTTACAAATATTTGCACAAGAATTTATTGTCTATAAATCGTTCTTTGGAAAATATGTGGCCTTTCACCTCATTTCAGCTATCAAATCATCAAGAGAATAATGAATGCTTAGGTACAATCGTGAGAATAATTCATTATAAGGGAATAATTTATGGATAGTGGGCCAAATTCTGAGGTCTGTATTCTTCTTTTACTCAGTTTTTACTTAAACAAGCTACTATTGAAGTTAATGGGCATTTGCTTAAGTAAGGATTGAGTACAAATTGAGAGAGGATTCCAGGATTTGATCTGATATGTTTGTCATTACTTCAGATTATGCGTGCTATTAGCCATTCATAGCAGAAAGAAAATATAAGAGAAAAGGAATACTGTAGTTGCAGATGTTTAATGCCTCTCCTATTTTGTTTTTTTGCATTCAGGATGTCAAGTCAGGGGAAAACAATAATCTTTTCACTCCATCAGCCCCGGTACTCCATATTCAGATTGTTTGATAGCCTGACGTTACTGGCTGCAGGAAGCCTGTTGTACCATGGCCCTGCTCGGAATGCTCTGCAGTACTTCAAATCTATTGGTGAGCTTTCAAAGGGAGCTCAAGTCACAATGGTGGTCTTCCAGCACATTGTATTGATGTTGGCCTCTAGCCTTCCAGCACATTCTATTGATTTTGACCCAGATTCTCAAAGGTAATTAGGCACCTAACTCCCATTGATCTCAGTGGAAGTTAGGCACCTAAATACTTTTGAGGATCTGGGCCCTACTGTATAAGTAAGGAATGAATGACATCTTGTTTAACAATGTATTCAGTATTAAAAAAAAAAGTAGCAAATATCATTTATTTAAGCCATGAATCCCTGTCACCGTGGCCTCTGAAATGATGGACTATGATAAAAGTTTTATATCCCAAGACCAAAGTTGGCATATGCAATCATCAAGGGTATGTCTAC